TGGGACCACAGCACACCTTGTAGGAACTATCCATATACTGAATGTTGTCCGATCGGAGCGAACTGTCCTTACATGGGCAATCATATATAACTATCTAAATTATCATAGTGGTAATGACTGTGTCTTGTATAGCACCAGATCAATGTATCTATTAATGAGAAACTGGGGCTATTTTTACTAAAGAAAAGAACAACGCAACACAGTTATTTGACATTCGATTTGATTCTCACAGATGCGTTGCCACACTCGGGCATTAGAACACAGTTGACACTGTACTAGTTACTAGTAGTACTACTAACACTTGGGGCCGAGCTCCTACCCACGTGACCGCAACCGTAAGCTACCGTCGAGCCAGTTTGGTTATGATCAAAGCAAAAGCTCCGATCCCATCAACACTACCTAACCGTTAGATCTCCCGCTCCGATTTCTCAGCCATCCTTCATAACCCCTACAATCGAATCTTTAACGTCACCGCTTCTCGCCTGTGTCAGATATCCACCATGGGAGACGTCGCCGTGGAGAATCCGGCGAACAACGTCACGCTTCATACCAAGCCGGCACCATTGGACACCATCCCCAACATAGACTCCATCGAAGGCACAGGGACTGATGGAGGTGACGAATATGCTACTTTGAAGAAACTGCAGAGACATTTAGAGTATGTTGGAAACGGAAAACCTCCATGGTCTGTACTGACGCTTTAACAGATACATCCAGCTACAGGAGGAGTACATCAAGGATGAGCAAAGGCAAGCTAGTATTATCCCCCACAACCACAGCGGCGGTGTTATTAACATCCAACCTCAATACTAGGAGCTTGAAAAGAGAGCTTGTTCGTGCACAGGAGGAAATTAAACGGATACAAAGTGTTCCCTTGGTTATAGGCCAGTTCATGGAGGCGATTGACCAAAAGTACGGGCCTAAAATGCAGTTGATAGAGGAAATTTGCTAATGGATATTGTCTAGTACCGGAATCGTGCAATCGTCAACTGGTTCGAATTATGTCGTCCGGATTCTTTCCACGCTCGACCGCGAGAAGCTCAAACCATCGTCTTCGGTCGCTCTTCATCGCCACTCCAACGCCCTCGTCGATATCTTACCCCCAGAGGCCGATTCCTCCATTGCTATGCTAGGCGAAAATGAGAAACCGGACGTCACGTATGCCGATGTTGGTGGACTTGATATGCAGAAGCAGGAAATCCGCGAGGCGGTGGAATTGCCATTGACGCACTTCGACCTGTACAGACAAATCGGTGGGTTGATAGGTTTAAATGAGCTGGCAATCGTGCAGTGTTACTTACTATCGCAGGTATCGATCCTCCTCGTGGTGTCCTACTCTACGGCCCTCCGGGAACAGGTAAGACTATGCTGGTCAAAGCAGTGGCGAATAGCACAACTGCCAGCTTCATTCGAGTAAACGGTTCCGAGTTTGTCCAGAAGTATCTGGGTGAAGGTCCTCGCATGGTCCGTGACGTGTTCAGGATGGCTCGGGAGAATGCTCCCGCTATCATCTTTATCGATGAAATCGATGCCATTGCCACAAAGCGTTTTGACGCTCAAACCGGTGCTGATCGTGAGGTCCAACGTATTCTTCTGGAACTCCTCAACCAAATGGATGGCTTCGAGCAATCGAGCAATGTCAAGGTCATTATGGCTACCAACCGGGCCGATACTTTGGATCCGGCTCTGCTGCGTCCAGGTCGTCTGGACCGCAAGATTGAGTTTCCCTCTCTTCGTGACCGGCGAGAGCGTCGGTTGATTTTCACCACTATCGCGTCTAAGATGTCCCTGTCCCCCGAGGTCGACCTTGACTCGCTGATTGTGCGTAATGAACCTCTGTCTGGTGCCGTCATTGCCGCCATCATGCAGGAGGCTGGTCTACGAGCTGTGCGGAAGAATCGGTACAACATTATCCAATCGGACCTTGAGGATGCTTATGCTGCCCAAGTGAAGACTGGACAAGAAGCGGACAGGTATGTTATTTTATTTCGTTACCGTCCCCCGTTTGTTATTATACCTTACTAACAACCTATCCGCAGGCTTGAGTTCTACCGGTAAATGGGGTGTATTTATTTTTGGTAGTAATTAATGAGCTAGAAATACTGGGTAACGTGACGAAAGGGTGGTCATGAGTTGTAACGTCCAACTTCAGGCTCTTATCACATATGTAGGAAAAATGATTGATGTGTTTTGAGGTGCCCACCGTAGTGAAGCGGGAGGAAGTACGTGTTAACCGAGTCGATCGAATGAGGGTACCTCTTGTACAGTAGTCTCATGGTAGTTGCACTGTTTCGGCTGCCTACCGGGGGTCGGCAGTGCAGCTCCACCTATGATTGTTAAGGAGTACTTGTACAGAGCACGGAGTACCTATCAGTCCTGCCAAGAGTACACTTAGATAGGCGGCGATCCCTGGGTAGTGGTATGGATTGTGCATACCGTCATTTAGTTAAGGAACGTAACTCACTAACTTATCAGCCTAGCTCCCGAGGCGGTCTTACATCATCCCCGGCGGTAATCGATCCACAGCCTGGGTCAGCGATAAGAGAAACAAAGGGGCTTGAGTATGGGATGATTGATGCAGTGAGTTGGGTCAAACGAGAAAGATAGATAGTTAGAGAGAATACTACTCCCGTTTGATCATGGAGGGTATATATACATCCATCCATCCATCCACGAGAATGAAGGTGTTCCTGGCGGTATTGTAAAGGCTCCGTACCTTGGAGATCAAGTGACGAGACACCCGTGATGCAGGATCTCCACTTCAATCCAATGACGCATCGACTTCCTCCATGATTGGTTGGCACGCCCAGTCGCTCCGCAACCGGTCCGCATCACCTCACTCCCTCCCCCAGACCTGAAGGTACCTCTCCCGTCCTTCTCTCCCTCTCCATCTATCCCTTTCCAGACCCTTGTTGTATCTCATCATTCCTATCATCCCATATTAATAGAGTTATCGCTAGTGTTCTTCAGAGTCCGTTTGTTGAGGCGTTGCTTTTGTTGTCGCTGTTGTCGCCCATCATGAAGTCGACCTTGGTTGCAGCCTCTGTGCTGCTGGGCTGTGCTTCCGCCGAGGTTCACAAGCTGAAGCTCAACAAGGTGCCTGTCTCTGAGCAATTTGTGAGTAGACCTCTCTATCCCGGCTATGCAAATATTCATCCACACTTCTGAAAGCTTGTCGGGACGAACCTCTAACGAAACCGTACCCAGAGTATGCACAACATCGATACCCATGTGCAGGCTCTTGGCCAGAAGTACATGGGAATCCGTCCCAGCATCAAACAAGATCTCCTCAAGGAGAACCCTATCAATGACATGGGACGTCATGATGTCCTTGTTGACAACTTCCTGAATGCACAATGTAGGTAGCCCTAGTAGTACTACCTGTGGCGAAGCTCCTACTTACACATAGATTCCCCAAAGACTTCTCCGAAATCGAAATCGGTACTCCCCCACAGAAGTTCAAGGTGGTCCTTGACACCGGCAGCTCAAACCTTTGGGTGCCCTCCTCAGAGTGTGGTTCCATCGCCTGCTATTTGCATAACAAGTACGACTCATCTTCGTCGTCCACGTACCAGAAGAATGGCAGCGAATTTGCCATCAGGTACGGCTCCGGTAGCCTGAGTGGATTTGTTTCTCAGGATACCCTCAAGATCGGCGACCTGAAGGTCAAGGATCAGCTGTTCGCCGAGGCGACCAGTGAACCCGGTCTTGCTTTTGCCTTTGGCCGCTTTGATGGTATCCTCGGGTTGGGATTTGACACAATTTCTGTCAATAAGATCCCTCCCCCCTTCTATAGCATGCTCGACCAGGGCCTCCTCGACGAGCCAGTCTTTGCTTTCTACCTTGGAGACACAAACAAGGAAGGTGATGACTCCGTAGCGACATTCGGCGGTGTTGACAAGGACCACTACACTGGCGAGTTGATCAAGATCCCTCTTCGCCGCAAGGCCTACTGGGAGGTTGACCTTGATGCTATTGCCCTTGGCGATAGCGTTGCTGAGCTCGATAACACTGGTGTCATTCTGGATACCGGCACCTCCCTCATTGCCTTGCCGACCACCCTTGCCGAGCTTATGTAAGTTGAGCCTGTGTACTGTGCACACCTATGATGCCTTTACTAACTGCTTTGAAGTAACAAGGAAATTGGTGCTAAGAAGGGCTTCACTGGCCAATACTCTGTTGACTGTGACAAGCGTGACTCGCTGCCTGACCTCACATTTACCCTGAGCGGACACAACTTCACCATTGGTCCCTACGACTACACTCTTGAAGTCCAGGGCTCTTGCATCAGCGCCTTCATGGGCATGGACTTCCCTGAACCCGTTGGTCCCTTGGCCATCCTGGGCGATGCGTTCCTCAGGAAGTGGTACAGTGTGTACGACCTTGGCAATGGTGCTGTCGGCCTGGCCAAGGCCAAGTAAACGAGTAATCTGCTATGCTGTGTTTTTATTGATTGCTTGTGTATGAGAGACAATGGTGCATGATAGTCTGTCTTGGTGGTTGGTTGGCCCTTTTTCTGTTACGGGAACTCGGCAAAGACTCCTTCGCTCATGACCTCTATCCTGTTTGTTATTGATATTTTGCGACTCAGTGAGTCGCTGGTTATGCTCTAATGACATTCGAATTGGATGCCGATAGTTCCATATACACTGCTATATTCACGCGTATTTTTGATCTATCGGTCCAAATATTTCCTAATACAGGCAGCCCAACTAGACAGCTAGGCCTAGAGCCTCTCTATCAACTTAATAACTCGCCCATCGGTGTGTAAGTCCTTCCATCGAGAAGGCCACCTCGGGCATTCCGCAGTCATTTGGTTTACACCGGCCGCACCTGAATCATTCGGCCATTCGAATAGACAACCCCTCGTAAATCTTGAATCTCACATAACCGAACGGACAGCTCCACAACCACCAGAAGACTACAAGGACAAAGCAAAACGGCGGGAGAAAGCAAGCAGAGGGGCCCCGAGTCGCCAATAAGAAGATAGTGAACACCAACTAGTATCTCGGCATCATCACGATAACCGAGAAGTTATCTGAGTTGTCATAGGTGTGAATCTCTGCCACATGTAGGCCTGACTGTTCAGCTAGCGTTTCCCACTGCTCCTTTGAGCGCTCCTTCCCGCCCATCGAGACCATCAGTGAGAGATCGGCCAGTGTCGCCTGCCAGGGTACGTTGGTCTCCGGCAGGACCATCTCATCAATGAGGATCTGCGAATCATGGGCCATTGCAGCACGTAGATTCTTGAGGATTTGGATACCTTGGGAGTCGGGGTAGTCGTGAAGGATTCTACGAAGGTAGTAGAACTTGGCGCCTTGAGGGTTGAGGTTCATGTTAGTTGAGGACGGTAGGATAGTAGGCCAGTTATGCTGAGCATGAATGCAGGACTTGCCTTTGACCACCTGTGTCTGGAAGATGTCATATGCCATGGTTTCTACTCCGTCGATTTGGGAGAGCTGATCTACTGCTTGCGGTAGGTCTTGGAGGACGAGCCATCCACTGAGATTTGGGTATTTCTTTATGAGTTGGACGCATTGGTGGCCGTGACCACCTCCCACGTCGACAAGGAATGGTCTGCGTGATGCCTGTGGGAGCTGAATTATAGCGCAAGCTTCTTTTTCGAATCGGTCGAATCCAACTGTCCAGTCGGTTGATTCGAGTGCAGTCATGACGTGCTGCAGGGCATCAAACCGCCCCGGGTGTTGAGCAAGCCACGCAAAGCACGTAAGGCCGGTATGGAAGGCCTTTTGGAAAGGCGTGTTGGTGTTGCTGGTGATCTCCTGATAGTGTGTCTCTGCGAAGAAGCTGGGGAATTCCTGAATGGCTGGACCACAATTGTCGAAGCTGTCCGGTCATTAGTGGAGATTTATATATTGACATGAAATGGGGAGGAGATGCATACGCATGGTAAACGAAGGCTTCGGCCATCTGGCTTGCCAGAGTATGAGTCGCTCTATTTGCTTTGAACTTCCCATGGTCTGCTTCCAGGATGAGTCCATTTGACGCGAGGTAACGAAGCACACATTCTAAATGTCACAGGTGGTCGTAGTCAGATACGGAATGTCGTGATCAATGGGCTGGGGGCCTTGCATCGATATCTTACCGAATAAATGAGGACTGGCACTAGATTCCTGGGCCACCTGGGCCACCTCGAAAGGCATCTCGCTTTGAGAGAGGAGCCGGAATAAACCCGATTCGATACCGAGACGAACGGCTGCAATCTGCAAGTGCTGGAAAGGTGTAAGGATAGTGCCAATTATATGCAACCCAAGCTTACACCGTTAAAAATGCCCATGAGCAAGTCTTTGGGCGTCTCCAATTCTACCAGGAGTTGACGGAGAGCATGCCGGATCTGAGCCCGGCCTGCCCCATCGGCGTCTCCAGCTAGAGACCGGATTTGGGTGATGACTGATTCCATTTGAACTCGAAGATAGGATATTGGCTAATGATGGGTACAAGGAGAAGGAACTGGTAATTGGGTTTTAATCGTCCTCTTTGCGGTCATTTTATGGATCTTGATGTCTCTTGCTCCACGGAAACTCCGTGGAGTTGACGCACTGTGATTGGCCAACGATAATCTACATGTCCAGGGATAAATGGAGGCCACCGTATGAAATACTACAGTAGTAGTCATACTAGTAGGTAAACTTGTCTCTTTTAAGCTGCCTGTGCAGGCATTCAGGGCAGGAGACAATAAGAAATGGTAACTCGTGGCCTGACTCCTCGTATAGCCCGCGGTAGAGGTCCCCGGGTCGTCACGCATGCCCCTTCCAAGCCCTAAACCAAGCTCCTCATCTCTCCCCAAGCTTAATGAGAACTGGTTTGCTTCCTCATAACGCGAAGTTGGATCCTACGGGAACCCGGTGGACTCTAGGGGGAAATCAATTGATACCCCTCTGCTAATCAGTTGTTATCTATCCCACTCCAGGGTACAATTGAGGAACATGATCGAGTGTCTCGTGACGCTTAACATAGCACTCTTTCAGTCGTCAGCACCGGCGGTTTCTGACTCATCAGGGTATGCTTTTTGCGTTGTTCAAGTCTTGACCACGGACAGTTGTGGCTTTGGCTGCAGGAACCACTCTACTCGTCGTAAGTTCCAAGGAGGGCACTTCATACGGCTAATAGAGGAGTACCTACTCCGTACTTGACGTCCACTTTCTATAAGAAGAGGGTCTCGCCCCCCCCGCACGGGCTCCCGAAAGCAATAACAAGAGAGCGGGTCTTGGCAACCAAACCTTGTTTCCTTTCTGCTTTCCCGGCAAACGGTCCAAACTGCTTTTCCTCTCTTTCATCATCACCGTTCTGAAGTTCACCTCACCCTCTCACACCCCCCAATCCAACAACCGTTTCATCCTCGCTCAATCCCAACCCCTTACTTACCCAGTCTTTTCTTCCTCGGCGCTTTTGCGGCGCATCTGCCGATCTTCTCTAGAACCTTGGTATATTTTTCCCTGTCCTTGTTCTCCGTCGCGTTATCTTGCGGCGATCGACCTAAGCTACTTGAATCCACATCCCACCCCGCGAACCAAGTGGAACATTTCCGTGTCGCTTTAGCTGTCAGTCATCGGCTTTACATACCGTCAAATCGGAACTAGGACCGGTTCAAGCTTACCCTCGTCGGTTTTCCAATCCGCCGTCAGGCGCGTCGGGCATGGCGCCATAGCTGCTGGAACCGGGTCTCTGCTCGCAATTCATGCATATTGCCCCTCTGTCAATTGCCATTGTCAATAGAGGTAGGGTCACCAAATATTAAATCAATCAAAGATCGAGAAACGAGCCAAGTCGTACAGGAATATGCTTCTTCGGTTGCCGCCCAGCCTCCACTACCCGATCACCGTCACGTCGCTGCTGAAACAGCCCGGCGACTCGGTGGAGAGGGACGAGGCGCTGTTCTGGTATGTCTACCAGACGACTGTCACCGAGGGTGATGGGCTGGGCAATAAGATTGAGGTCAAACGCAAGTTCCCGACCAAGTTTGAGTCGACTGTTGATGGCGAGGTGGTCCAATGGAAGATTGCAAAGGGGGACATCATCGATGAACCGTAAGCTCTATCGCCTCGTTGCACAATACATGGTTGCGAATGTTAACCCGAGGACAGTGTCGAGGTCATCGAGATCGATGAGCCATGTGCTCACGAAGTCCAGTTTGGGGGCCTCTGTGCAGAGTGCGGCAAGGACATGACCGAGTAAGTAGGAGACATGTCATATACGACACTATAATTTTCTACCGCACAAGTACTAACCTTGCAACCTCCTATAGGTCTACATACAATACGGAGGTGACAGATTCGATGCGCGCAACGATTCAGATGGTCCATGATAACACCGCGCTAACCGTGAGCGAGAAGGAGGCTGCACGGGTGGAGGAAGATGCGAAACGCCGGCTGTTGTCAAATAGAAAACTCTCTCTGGTGGTGGATCTTGACCAGACTATCATCCATGCCACCGTCGATCCCACTGTTGGAGAGTGGATGGAAGACAAGGATAACCCAAACCACCAAGCACTAAGCGATGTTCGTGCATTCCAGTTGGTAGACGATGGACCGGGAATGCGCGGTTGCTGGTACTATGTCAAGTTACGACCAGGTTTAGAGTCATTCTTGCAAAACGTCTCAGAGCTCTTTGAATTGCATATCTACACCATGGGTACACGAGCATATGCGCAACACATTGCAAGTATCATAGATCCAGACCGGAAGCTGTTCGGCGACCGCATCCTCAGTCGTGATGAGAGTGGAAGCCTGACGGCTAAGAACCTCCATCGTCTGTTCCCAGTGGACACGAAGATGGTCGTTATCATCGACGACCGCGGTGACGTTTGGCGGTGGAGTCCTAATCTTATCAAGGTTTCTCCGTATGACTTCTTCGTTGGCATCGGGGATATCAACTCAAGTTTTCTGCCAAAGAAACAGGAGTTGGGCACAGTCAGCAAGGCTGGGGAGAAGACAGGAACGAGACCCACAAAGTCTCCGCTTGAACATCATGTGAACGGCACAACAGCGAAACCAGAGGGAGAAGTGTCGGCGTTAGAACAGCTGGTGACCATGGGTGGCGGAGACAACCCGAGACTACTGCAAGAACAGACAGACGCGCAGGAAGAGACCATAATGCACCAGGTGGAAGATCGCCCTCTGCTGCAGAAACAGAAGGAACTAGACGCCGAAGAAGATTCTGCAGAGAGTATTGATACCTCTTCTAGCATGGATGAGTCGCAAGACTCAAGCAAACATCGGCACCATTTGCTGGAGGATAACGACCGGGAACTCTTCCAGCTGGAAGAGCGACTTGAGCAGGTACATAAGCAGTTCTTTGAAGAGTATGATCTGAGGCGAACGAGGGGGTTGGGTGGAAGAGTGGCAGCTCTGAGGGGCGAGAAGACGCCTTCGAAAGAGAAGGATGTTGATCTAAAACTGGTGCCTGATATCAAGGATATCATGCCGCAGATCAAGCGCCGGATCCTCGGCGGGGTGATTCTGGTCTTTTCCGGAGTGCTTCCGCTCGGAACAGATACTCAGAACGCCGATATCTCCCTATGGGCGAAGAGTTTCGGGGCTGCTATTTCTCAGAAGATCAATGTGAAGACCACCCATCTGGTGGCCGGCCGTAACCGCACGGCTAAGGTTCGGGAGGCGACGCGGTACACCAACGTCAAGATCGTCACCACACAGTGGCTCTTGGACTGCCTGACGCAATGGAAATGGCTGGATGAGGAGCCTTACTTACTTCCTGTACACCCTGACGATCGGGGAGAGCCAATCTCGCCTGGCTCTAAGGAGATGGAAAGCGGATGGCTTTCGTCATCTGAAGATACGGGAGATTTTTGGACCGAGGAAGAAGATGCGTCAGAATCCACAGAAGACATTCTCAAGTCCACCGGCCTCGACGAGCATTCCCCGATTGGTTACGATGAAGACCAGCAAGCCGCTGTCCACGAGGAACTCAAAGAGTTCCTTGGCAGTGACGATGAAAGCGAAAGCGACAGCGAAGTATCGTCCTGGGCAGAGGAAGCGACATCCAACAAGAAACGTAAGCGTGATGAAGGCGCAGAAGGCGGGGACGAAGAAGACAGTCAAGAGGAAGGCGATCAGCCAGGCTCACGCCTATCACAGCGTATCAAGCGCTCCTACGAGCGGAGCACGGGACTGAAGGAGGTTGCGACTGCGACTACCGACGATCCTGCTCATCGATTGCCCGTGGCTACAGAATCGGATGAGCCTGCATCTCACGACCTAAATGCCAGCCTCCCCGAAGAACCCGCGGAGGACGACGACGACCTCGAGCGGGAGATGATGGCTGCTTTCGAGGATGACGACTCTGACGCCAAAGCGGAAGAGGACCTTGCGGCGGACAACGGTTGACCTGTTTCCTTGTGTATTTGTTATTTGCTCGACTTCTCCTTCTCCTGTTCATATTGGGGCGTTGAGGTGTATGTGACGATCCTGTAGCGGCTTCTCCGGGCAATTACACGGTCAGCACTATATTTGCTGTTTGTTGATACCATTTGGTATCCCAGATTGGCTAAGATTTATTATGCTTTCTCATTCCGTTGCAATTGGTGCGATGCAATGACGGCATAGCGATGGCGTTGGGTAGTATCTGACTCGCATCTGATTGACTGTCCGATGAAGTTGTTCATAGTGATGTTTCTATAGTGTCAAAGACAAAAAAACAAAAAAAAAAAAAGAAATCTCAAATTTTGGATATCATATACCATACAAACGCCCATATCTTCATACATACAGAGTCGATCAGAAGTCATCGCAGAATTATCATCAACATCATATCCGGTCATAGAAACACAACAGAAACAAGAAAAGAAAAAAAAATAAGACCAAAGGAATCAATCAATCATATACATCCCGATTCACCTGCCACGACATGATCATCATCCAAAGAAAGAAGATGGTGTTGACCAGCTCGAAGGCAAACGCCGTCTTCCAGCAATCACCTACGGGACCCCCATCAGTATGCAATGACGCGAATCACCAAATCAAAATTGGAGTCGAAAGCAAAAAAGAAAAGAAAAGAAAAGAAAAGGAAGAAAGAAACTCACAAATAGTCTTCTGCGTCAACCAAGCCAAGGTCTGCATATTGTTCCCCCCGGCCCGATTATCAACGATATAGATCTGGCAATTATCATTGACGTTCCCGACCACGCCGTACAACTGCAACGAGGTCTCGATCAACCCGGTCAACCAGAGGACGAAGAGGATGAAACTGCCCAGCAGGATAATGCCGGGGAGCAGGAAGCGCTGGGCGGCGAGGATGAGGATGAGCACGATGAAGAAGATGCCGAGGGCGCCGGACACCACCATGAATGGGAATAGCCTTTTTTTTTTTGTGTGATATTAGTATGTGATGGTTTACTTAAGTTGGGAATATTAGAAAAAAAAAAAAAAAAAGGGCAGCGAAGATTGTGGTCAAGAGAAGTATGTACCATGGTGTACCCAGACGCATCTCGGATTGTACCGACATGAGCCAGGCAAAGATGCCCATGCAGATGGCCGAGGCCGATAAGACGATGAGGATCCAGACGTTGAGTTGCAGTTCGGGCCAGTGGTAGCGCCTGCGACGGTAGACGACGGCCATTTTTTGCTTCCTTGCCCTTACGAATCTGTGGGACGATGTATATGTACGGATGTATGTATGTATGTGAGTGAATGAATGAAATGATCGCTTCCCGTCGGGGAATATAATTTTCACACCCGGCCGGTCTGTATGTGTATGTATATGTATATATATATATATTCGATCTGCCCCCGCCGGATGGATTTGTATAGGGCTTGGTTTGATCAGGTACGCTTGCGGGGAGGAATGGAAAGTGCGGTCACTCCTTTCCACCGCAACAACAGGACCTGTCGGGCACAAGACAAGGCGACTCAATTGGTGGCGAAAGTGCAGATGCAAGAATGAAGCGCAGAAAAAAGACAGCGCATCAGCGCCGTACTGGCGTTGGGCTGTTGTTTCGGGGTTCTGTGCGATTGGACTGGCTGGCACGCGGAGTCAAGAGCCACTGTTATGTAAGCGGTGAGCGATTCATCGTTCTGGATGTCGCTGGAATTCTTTATTTAGACAATCGTGGACAGAGGAAGGGAAAGAAGAGAGATCTATCATCAGATGGAAGGGCAGGTGGAGCATTTTGATGTAAAATGAGGTGGCAGGTGGAAATTGCGGTGGCAGGGGATTTGATATCCGTCAACCCTCCTATACTACTTACCCTAATTTGTAGCTCCCTTCGTTTTTTTTTTTTTACCATCAGATGCACCAACACCAGTCTTGAAATCGTTTCAATGTCATTGTACATATCCTAATGCCGTTTGGTCATGTCTAAACATAATGTGATATATGGAAAAAAAAAGAAAAAAGAAAAAGAAAAAGAAGAAAGAAGAAGAAAATTCCCATCCAATCGCCATCTACCCGTCTATTAAGTCGTCTCCATCAGCTCACAGGAGGGTGTCACCCAGTGCACTGCGCACCAGCGAGCAACCGGTCCGAATGGTTTCGGAGGCGCCTACCGACTCCAGGCTGGGGTTGACCTCCACCAAGTCCATGGCGACCAGGTTACCGGTCTCATGTACACACTCGCAGATGAAGTCACCCTCACGGAGAGTCAGACCGCCACGCACGGGAGTGCCGGTGCTGGGAGCCCACTGCGGATCCAGAGCATCGACGTCGAATGAAAGATGAATAGGGGTGTCGTTTCCGATGTGGGCCAGAGCCATCTCCACCACACGGCCAATACCGTACCTGTTTCGGGGTTAGCCTTGGCTTCTTTCCTTGTACTTAAATCCGAAGGGAGAGAGAGAGAGAGAAAGACTCACCGGTCGATATCATGCATGCTGAACGCCTTGATGCCATGCTCCCGAAGGATTTGCTTCTCGCCGCGATCAACATCCCGCAGACCAATGTAGACCAGCTTACGGGTGCTGACGATGTGTTCATCCTGCAACCAGCCGAAGATGTCCTTCTTCTCCTCGCGAGCCAAGCGAGTCAAGAAGGCCATGGGCATACCGTGGATGTTTCCACTGGGGCTCATCTCCGGAATGTTGATATCGGCATGCGCATCAACCCAGATGACGGCCAGCTCCCGACCCAGGCGTTCGCGGGTAGCCTTGGCCGAGCCGGAGATGGATCCGATGGCGATCGAGTGATCGCCTCCCAGCGTCAAGACCATTTGACCCTGCTTGGCCTTCTCGTAGACCTGTGCGCTCAGCGCTTCGGTGACGGCGCTCACCGCACGGGGCTTCTTCATGCCGCGGTGATCGGGGTCCTCGGCGGGGATCTGGTTTTCGTAGTAGTGGACGGTGTTGTCATAATCGAGGGTGTAGCCAAGGTCGTCGCGGAGTTGATCGAGGAGGCCAGCCTCGACCAGCGCCATGGGGGCAGCCTCAACGCCAAGTTTGCACTGTGTCGGGTTCACACCCGGTTAGCCGTTGGTCTTGCGATCCAAGTGATCGACACCCGCGCGTGGGAAGGATCATACCTGGCCGCCATTGAAGCCGACTGCTACCACACCCAGGTTTCCGGGCTTGGACAGGAAGCGTTGTGCGATGGTGGAAGGCTGAGTCATGGTGAAGGGTGGTAAGAATTGACAGGGTGGATGGGAGCGCGAGGAGAGGCTGGATCTGATAGAGGGGAGAAAAAAAAGATTCTAGAAGCGGGACTAAAAAGATAAGATCTGGCAAGTGGGGAATCGGGACCGAAGGGTTTCAACCACCAACAATGAAAGAACCGAGGAACGGGACACAGGAGATGCGAGGAGGGATGTAGTAGTCGTGGTAGGAAGATTGAATCAGACACAAGAACAAAAATCCGAGGGGGATCTGAGGCTGTTTAAGTAGGGGAGACCTCGTGGGGCGTAATCCGCGGCATTCCTGGGAGGATCGCTAAGACCTGCTTTTAGGGATCGAGGGCTTCCCCTAAGTACAGGTGCAGGAGAGATGCCCGCGACGGCGTCGCCATCCCACTCCACCCCAAATTTCCATTAGCAATGGATTGTGATAGCCGGGAGATAGGTCGCAGATTCATGCCCAGATACGGGATTTTACAGGAAACGAAACGGGTATCATTATGGCTACGTACGAAATACAAGTGATACAACACCCTCAAGGGCCGCGCGACGGCCCCAGAATCAGTTCCCGCAGGACTGCATCCGCCTTGGGCGCCTCCACTCGGCCCTTTTCGCCCATGCGCATCATCTGTCCGACAAACCAGCCCAGCTTACCGAGCTGGTTCTTGGCCCGGATCTGCTCGACCATTTGCGGGTTCTGACGGATTGCTGCCTCGGCCAACGCAACGTATTCCTCTCGCGAGAGCGGCCGGAGAAGCAGGTTCTCCTCGTCCAGCAACTGAGGAATCGCTCGAGGGTCGCCGTCGAAGACCATGGCGAGCACCTGCTTGGCGGTAGGACCGGTGATCCGCTTTCGCTGGACGTGATCGATAATCTGAGCCAGCGATAGCGCAGAGACTCGTTCGGCATCCCAAGGAAGGCCCGCTTTAGTCAAAAGGCCCCCAAGCTCGTGGAGAACCCAATTACCGGCACGCGTGCCAGGCCCCCACGGCTCGCAGGATCCGGATCCTGCTGCTGATCGCGCAGGATATCCACCACGTCCTGGTAGTATTCCAGCCGAGCGCCGTCCTCTAGCTCAACCAGCGGCTTCGCATCTTCAATCGAGAGGCCGTACTCTTTACCGGTCAACAGCCCAATCAGCTCGTCCGAGGAAGTCGGTAATGTGTTGGCCAGCTCCGACACGAGATCGGCCCCGATGAGGAGTGGTGGCAGATCCGGATCTGGCATATACCGGTAGTCGACTTCGCCTTCCTTGCCTCGAAGTTTCCGTGTCTCCGTGCTCCCAATCGTCCAGCCACGGGTCTCACCCTCCACAACCCCACCACTTTCTAGCACCGCAATCTGGCGGTTCTTTTCTGCAATGATGGCATCCTCGACAGCCTTGAAGCTGCTCAAGTTCTTGATCTCCGTGCGCTGACCGAGGCCACCGATGCCGCCATACTGATGCGCACCCTCGGCATCACCCCGCTGACGGATCGAGACATTCACATCGGCTCGGAGACCGCCCAATTCCATACCAGTGGTGACTGCGCTGCACGATTGAAGGATGGTCTGAATCTTCCGGACGCACGCGGCCGCGGTGGCGGGCGTGTGGATCTGGGGCATCGTAATGATTTCGACCAGGGGGTGGGATACGCGGTTGAAATCAAGAAGCTGCGTGGAGGGAGGGTATTCCTGTGATTTGGCCGTGTCCTGTTCTAGCTGTACCTGCTTGATACCGATGCGAACGTGATCGCCATCTTCTGGCGCGATCCCATCGTAGCCGAATAAATCCACATAGCCATTTTTCGCCAAAGGTTCTGTGAGGGTTAACCCACGGTCACGTCACTGGAGCCACCGTATATTCACCATAGTATTGTGTAATCTGGTAGCCGGCTGGCTGGTCCTGATAGAAGTAGTGTTTCCGATCGAATCTGCTCACGGGCTGAACCTCACATTTCAGGGCGAGTGCGGCGCGGAGGGCAGGTAGCAGGGTTGGAACTTGGAATTCCTAAAGCAGTTCAGCCTCCACTGATTATCGGAAACCTGGTCTTGACGACTCACCGGCTGGCTACCTGGGAAAGCCAAGTCGAACAGAGCAACGTTTGAGTTGGGTAGGTCGGTGGATGATGTCGGAGCGCCTGGTCCAGCAGAAGTCAGATACATGCTTGACCGAGCATAAGGTTGTCATCGCACGTGAAAAGAGTTTATTCTCGGTATTCAACTGCGCATGAATCTCAATCCCGACCGTGAGCTCCCATTTCTGTCGCGAAGCCTCCTCGCTCTCCCTTCTCTGACGCTTCTCGGCTTTTAAAGCCTTTGCATTTTGTTTGAGCTGCTTCCGGAGCGGTACACGGTCCTGTGACTCTGGGGCTGACGTCTGTAAACACCGAACCGAACGCGAGGGATTCGTGAGGGTGGGCAGTCGAGAGCTATAGGGCCGGGGACATGGCGAACAAGGAAGAGAGCGGGCTGCTCGGGTCGATTGGCGCAGCCAGGAGCGGAGCATATGGGGAGGGACGGAGGGTTTTTATGGATAGATGAATGTGTAGAAATAGTAATCTTCTTTCGGGGGGAGGAGTGAGTGTTGAATAGGAACGGGCAATGTATTGAAGGAGATTATAAAAAAAAAAAAAAACCAAGATCTGGTTGATTCGGTAAAGCTTGGCTTATGGAAGTTGGAGATATCGTTTACTGAAGGCGGCATGACCTCGGAGTTGCTGATGACAAGACCAGGTCATGTGTTACTACTACTTCTGGACTATCCCCCATCGGAACGGCTTTACATAGAACATACAATGGGGTGATTACTATCGTTGCATGTTCTTTTTTCCAGCAAGGATATGGATTGTGCACAATGTTTTGCCGGTGACGATGGTGAACTATGGACTCTACATAACTAACTAGTTAGTTACAAAAACCATGAGAATGAGGTAAGCCAATGCAGTGCAGCCAACACATCGGTTTTGGACACGACGAGGATGACGCTGAGCGATGGGATGATATACTCTATCGTCTCTCTGGGAATCCCCATCCCACATCCATCCCGCTTTCTTCCTTCTCCTCGAACGAGATCCCTCCCAACATCAATCCCAAAACAAGAGAACACACACACAGAGAGAGAGAGGGAGAGAGAGAGAGAAGTTCTCTCCCTTACCGGATTGAGTTTGGACTCCTCCGATGATCTTCAGCCAAAGATCGTCCACAAACCCCACCAAAAGATAGAGAGCATGACGATTGAATGTGAGATGTTGGCTGACAGGCAAAGTTGAACGACGCTTTTGCATTCGGTTTAGTTCCAACATGAGACTTTCGATCTGTCGCACCATTACCGCCATCGTTTGGGGCGGAATTTAATTCGGGCTCGATCTATTTATTGAACAGTTGTGGACGGACCTTCGTTCAGCAGTCCGCTTCCCGATCTACGCGCAAGGGCTTCGCTTGTCGGTATGTATACATCGGCTCATCGATAGACTCTATCAGCTCCGATTTGACGCCCACCCACGCGCTCTCTGTGCTCTTTCCTCCCGTGAAACAGAAAAGAATTCAAGCCTACATTCTATCCTACATTCCTCCAAAAGTGATATTCGAAAATTTCCCTACCGCAAGAGCGGTCCTATCCTCTCCCTTGTTATGTCTTTCCTGTTAGCCCCTCCGAACAACATTTGTGGACTGTGCCTGTCTCCATGATTTCACGATTTTGATGCTTGCGGGATATGGTCTTTAAATGAAAAATTCCTTCTTCAACTCCGATACCAGCAAGTCTTCTGCTCCTTCCGTTCTGAACAATGTTGCTCTATTCAGGATCAAGGCGCTCTAAGAAAGTCTCCAAAGATGGCAGCAACAAGGCATCGACAGCTTCAGTTGCCTCTGGGAAGTCTCACTCTACTTCGAAAAGCTCGCGATCTTCCGGAGATGCCGCCAAGAAAAAGAGTGCCCCCGAGCTGCCCGCTGGGCCAAAGAGCAACGCCCCAAGTTCCAAAAAGGCGCAGAATGCACAAGCGACGAGAAATCCCAATTGCAAAGCGGCTGAACCGGAGAAGCATATTCCTAATGTGTTCGAGTACCTTGAATCAGGTTCCGACACTGACTCCGACGATTCCTATGTCGAGGATGATGACGTCCTAAACAGCAACCCTAGCGGTTCGTTCAGGAATCCACATGTTAGGCTTGCACGCCAGGCGAACATGACAGCGCAGGGTATGGGCGCCCCGAGTCGAACATCATCTGTACGATCAAAAGGCTCAATGGATTCCTACCAAGCACCTGGTATACTTGAATTATCTACTAGAAACAGCATGGCTCGGCACAAAATGTCCATGGAGGGTTATCTGACAGAGGAGTCGAACAGCTCCGACAAGCGGAAATTGCGTCTGAGCCCAATGCCAGAAGCCTACGAGCACTCTCAAGATCCCACATCTTTCCATCCTCCACTCCCCCCGTCCCCGCCACAAAGCCCGGAGGATGATCTTCACCATATCAACCGGAACTCAAGGCGAAATAAACAACCCTCGTCCATTCCCTCCGGTTATGGACTTCTCAGCTGGCAGCTGAGCTCATCAGTCGAAAAGGAAGAGCCGTCTCTTCCCCCGCTTTACCGACGATTTGAAGATCTAAACCACCGCGTACTCCTCTATCTCCAGGACGAAATCGCACAGATGGAAGAGGAACTGCACGTATTAGATGAATACGAAGAAATGCATCGTGTATCCACTGCAGAACAAGAAGGGACAAACATCGTACCTGCTTCAAGACGCATGGATGCCCAAGCGCAGGTATATTCATCCCTGCATTACCGACGGGAGGAGGTGATGGCAGCATTAGTACAAAAGACCCAGCAATACAGTGAGTATCCGGACACGAAACTTAAGGCGTCGTTCCAAATCTAACCAAACAAGATAACTCCCTCAGTGCATATAGCAAAGTCACCCAGGCACTCCCCAGCGCGTCCGATAAAGACATCGACACGTATCGCACCTGGATGAAGGAAAATGCTCCCGTCGCAGTGGCCGAGACCCGTTTCCTAGAACACAACAAAGACCTCATCTCTCTTACTACACGGTCGACACCCAACGCCACCTCTGCCTTCTCGGCGATCATCATCGCTTCCGCTGCTATCCTCCTTCCACTACTAGCCTTTGGCATGATCGCCGAATTCTCAGGACGTCTTCTTGTTGTCGCGATGGTGGGCGGCGCGGCCTCTGCGATTGCGTCCAATTCTGCAACTGGTGCTGAGAAACTCGTTGCTTCTCACGATGGGTGGAGAATTGCTACATTGTATGTTCCTATCAGAATCCCCTATCCTAAACTGGAATGCTAACGTTTGTCTATCTGCAGATATTTCGGATTCATGACTATAGCCGCTATGTTTATTCCTTGATTGGGCGATCACGAAAGTATGGGGAGTGGTTACATAATGACTTACGAATTTCCTTAGCCGTGATGAATCTATTCCTTCTATTACTCATATTGACTAAGTACCATCATTTGTGGCAGGGGGACTGGTCAAAAGGTGGCGTTTAGGCTACTGGTTCCGATGGCAGACAACCTAGGGTTTTCAAAGGCTCTCCGCTTCTTCAATACTAGTATCTCTTTATAATCCTGAATAAGTAATTCTCGGAGTAGAAGTTGCAGATAAACTAATACATAGCATTTCTAGGTGAAAAGCGTGTAGCCACAAAAGTAATAGAGACACTCCGCCCACGAGACACCAGACCAATCTTGGAATCAATCCGCGCCGTTCGCTGATCTTCATCTCGTCAGGAGATGGCAACAGGGTTCTTCAAAGGGAAATCATAGCAGCAGGGAAACGACACGCGTACGTACACACGCACACACTCACACTCACACACACACACACCAGCCAATAGTCGTAGTAAGATTGTTATAAAGGTAAATTCAGAAGAGGAATCAAAGACCTCTCTTCCTTTCTCATTCTCAAATCTAATGACCCGTAGCTTTGAGAAATCAAGAAATATAATGGATTAGGGAACGGACAGAAGCAAAGGACAAGATGGACAAGTCACAAAAAGGTCAAATACAAATCATAACAGTGTAACACCATTAACCGAGCCTTCCTTTTTCTAAAGACAAGGGTGAACGTAAGCATAGAAACACAACTCCGAAATGTCGACGATACTTGCTCCACTCATGAAGGGACCGGATTGCCGTTCTGTTTGTTACCGGGGGTTACACTTCGATCCTGAGAGCTACCTTCGGTTGTGGGCTGTGGCGTTGAGCTCTGTCGCGCATGAGCAGCAAGTTGTGTTCTATTCCTCTCCATCAGTGCGGCCTGTTCAGCGGCACTTCGTGCGTAAGTCATGGCAGCTGCTGAGTTGGAATATGCCGCCGATTGTGCAGGAGCTTGATTGGAAGGATAGTTGCCGTATGGGGGAGGTTGTTGTTGTTGTTGCTGCTGTTGCTGTTGCTGCTGCGGTTGTTGCTGCTGCTGTTGCGGTTGTGGTTGGGGTTGGGGTTGGGGTTGCTGCTGCTGCTGCTGCTGCTGCTGTTGCGGTATGAACCGTTGCTGAGGATTATTAGAGCCCGGCGTCATGTATGGCGTTCGTGGAGCCGCATATGATGCTTGCTTCTGAGGAGAAGCACTGCGTCCAGTTGCGTAAGAAGCGCTGTATGCCCCTGGTTGGGCGGGACGCGGCGTGTAGGGCTGTGGTGAAGCTTGGGCGGCCGGCCCTTGCTGGGCCGAGTAGGAAGCATACCCATTTTGCCCAGGTCGCTGGAATTGCTGATTGAACTGAGGGGTGGGCTGAGAGTATCCCGGAAGATACCCGGGTCGTTGTGAAGGTGTTGCTGGGGGCCGAGGTCCGGCGTATTGCTGTGGATGGCCTGGAGTATATGGCCCGGAAGTTGAGGGCTGCCTTCCACCGAAGTATGGCTGTTGAGGGAAGCCGCCCTGTGATTGGACCCGAGAGCCAGAACTATAGGCCCGCGAATTGTACCGCGATGGCGTTGAAGTTCGATTCGCAGCACCACTCATTGGTGCCATGGCCGCGCTTCGCTCCTGTTGCGCTGTAAAGTCGTCTTTCTCCATAGTTCCCCGATAGTCGGGGTTCTCGATGACGATTTTCTGGCTTATGTTCAGCTCGTCCAGCTGATCGCCGTTTAATTTTGCAACTGCATACGGAGGTAAATTGGATATGAGAACCACCAGACTTGACTTCAGTGTTTCATATACACCCAGCTCTTCTGTAGAAGGGGAATCTGAGCTCGTTGAGTCGGACCCTGTTTCTTTAGGCTCAGCACCTTGAGCGTTTGGGGCTGAGACGTCCAGATTGCGGATCCTTTGGTACGAGCTCAAAGTTTCCAGTAGATCAGAGATATCATGTAATAGCTCATCTACATCCCTCGACTCTGCATCTTCCTCCTTATCTGCTTTAGAGGCCTCGGAACAAGTAACACTATCGGCGAAGTCTTCGGGCTTGAAGTTCTTTACCATCTCCTCCAATGTACTTTCGTCTAGTTCGCCAATATTGCCTGGCCGTTCTGAAGTCGTCTCTTCCGCGACTTCTTGATATGGTATTGAAAGCAAAGTCTCCAAACGTTTGGTACCTCGTTTGCTCCACCATACCAAATTCTTCGAGTCAGCCTGGACAACGGCACCCGAACTGTCAAATGAAGGCGCGAATGATGAGTAGACACCTTGTAAGACAGACGAGTCTTCATCAACCCCCAGTGAAGGATCATCCGTATACTTCTCGTCACTGTGCTGTTGAGACGGCTGATGTTTATCGCGGCGATTCCAATAAGACGGGGACGAGGTGACCCCGCCGTACTGGAGCCACTGACCAGAGGGCAAAAGTGCAAGGCAGTAATTATTCCGATCACCCCGGAAAGCTTTGAAGTCGGTGATAGCCTCGAAGGGGTCAACCCAGCCATTAAGAGCACTTCGAGAGGACGACTTTGCTTTGCGTGGTGTCTCCAATTGAGGCAAGGTTGACCGAGGCGCAAAAACTTCCCCAAAAGTCCTTTTGGGCTCCGCTGGCTTTTCATCAAGATTGTATGGTTCGATCTTCGTGGTCGTGATACCGTTTGGTAAGCCGACTTCGCGTAGTGGCGCTTGCACCTCCACATATTTCTCAGCTTTCGGGTCATCTGAAGGCAGTGGAACCTTGACGGATTTCTGTAAACTCGAATATAGCTGCTTGGGATTGGCTGGGTTCCCAAACAGCGTCAAGACGAGATTCTCGTTCCGGGTCTCTACATTGGAGGTATTGAATTTCGCCGGTGTCTCTGCATCCTCCTCGGATGTCTCTGCCTTGACGTTCGACTGACTCGTGTGTGCCTGACGAACGAGACTGTTCAAGAGTTTCTTAAACGCCGCGATACGATTGACTGTTTCTGTTACAGGCGACCCATCGGCCTGGAGCCCGCTCGCCTGGGCTTTATTCCTCTCAATCACGGCAGCCGATGCTTTCTCGATATCACTCAAGAATTCCGACAGAGTATTATAACGATTCGAAGCGACTCGGGATTGTATAGTGGATGCTTCGTCTTTTTCGCCCGAGACTTTCGCGCGCTTCGAACGGGGCTTCGCCGGGGATGACGGCAATGGACAGGATAGGAGTTGAAGATCCGTATCGTTTCTTCTGAGGGTCAGCATCTGGGTGCGAACGCGAACATATATTTGGAGAGTGAAGTAAGTAGAACCTACTTGCTCAATATTTCAACAAGATTACGCAGAGTTTCCTGTAGCTTGATCTTTTCCTGACCTTGCGACGCAGACGAGCCAGCGTCTTGAGCGACTTTGTCATCATGACTTGACACACGCTTTCGCTTGGCAGGTGTCGCCAATGAGGGCGGATCGGGGGTGGTAGCATGGAGATCGCCATTTGTAGTCGGAATGGAAGCTGTGCCTCCGCTTTCGTCTGCGCTCATGGCTCCGGAGTCGCGCCGTTATGGCAGTAATCCTTTGACGCGAGAATAAAGGGTGTTTCCTAGTGTCCAGCGTATCGTACCTGGAACTACAAGGGCGCGGACTTGGTTCCAACTCTGTGAATGTAGATTGACGTGGTAAATCAGAGAAAACCACGATTATGGCCTTCAACACAGAGGCCGATGGTCGAGTGTTCGTTGATCCCCGAAGCGGATGCGCCAATAGTTACGAGACCCAGCAGAGGAGGGTGCGCAACCTTCAAGATAAAATCACGTATATTCAACTCCACAGGGGTGAATTGCAATGAGCGTATTTCTCACCACGCCCAGGATCAATCCAGTTGAGGAGGGTAAAAAAAAAATAAAACCCAGGAGAAATAATGTTGGCACCCGTAACAATAGCAAGGCGGGAAGACAGGCAAAGAGGGAGATGTTCCTCATGCGCGCCATGCCAAAAGCGCAACTCGTGACGATCCGTCACGTGACGTATACTTTTTTCCCAATGGACCAGGCCGACTGGCTGCGTCTCCGGATTGACCTGCTAAGTTGCACTGGAGCGAAAACGCACCCTCGACTTTCGTCACCGGGTATCAGAGTTCCTCGAAGTTGCTCCATGATCATCTCTATGGATGTCATCGGTCTTCAATCATGTTTCGAGCCGCTCGAGGGTTTCCTCTCTGAGAGCGGCGCACTTGCTCAGTAGCCGTGTATGGCCGAAGGTACCGCTTAAACAACCCCGGACAGGACATTTCTCAGTGCTGTATTAACATGTTTCTCCTCTTCAACTTTAAGGAGCTGTATTACAATAGCCTCTCATATCCAGGGTATCTGACGGCGCTGTCCAGTTCGCCCGCCAATGTGTTTCTCGGTCCTCGAACGTTGTCACGGTCTCTAAGCTCAGCCGGGACTTTGATTTCGCCTCGACATGAAACCACGCGTGACCAAATATATCAAGTCGGACATGACGATCAGCACACATCTTGTGAATTTTGGTGTGGATTGCGGCTGCAGTCTCAATTAAATCAATCCTATGTGCCCCCTGGCCCAGACCGTGAACAGCAACCGAGACAAAGCTCCAAATCACCACCCCCCGAACAGACCCCGTCAAAGCCCACACCTCTCGCACAGGAGGCCTCTAAATCAACGCCATTGCCATCTACCAACAATACATTGATGAGCCGGGATGCGCATGGCAAACGGCCATGTGGAAAACCACAGAATGAATTGCATAACCCACGAAGGAAATCAAAAAAGCTTGGTGTTTCCTTCAACCCGACCCCAACCGAGTATTTAATTGATACCCTGCACAATGTTGTGCATCGCCCTGATAGCGCAACGCGTCAAAACTGGACGTTTACCTCGAGAAAGCCCAACGATCACCTTATGCCTCCTTTAGACAGAAAACAACGGATCAAGTTCAAAATTGAGCACAGAGTCTCGCTCCAAGAGATTACTGCAGACTACATTTACCATGTGGATCGTTTGCTTGACCGGGCGGGTGAAGAGGGTGTCAAAGGAAATTCTATAGAACTGGATGTTGCTCTGCGAAAGGTTTTTCTTAACAAAGAATACCGTAAATATTTAAGAGCGCGGCAGTATTCTGTCCAAGATGTGGTTGCATGGGCATGGATCCTCAAGAGCCGCACCCCTTACGAGGCCATCCTCCGGATTCTCACGTTAGAACTACAATTAAATCCAAAGGAAAAGGGAGGTCCCGCTACTCGAATTATCCCGCCTTTCATACCCCTTCTTTTGTTGCGGCAGGGCCTCGATACTAAGGCCTTCCGTTTACTCCTCATTTATTCACTGCGGCTTATCAGCGGTCAGCCACATCCAAAACTAGGCACATCCATGTCCGCGCCAAAAGATGATGCCCTTTTCGATGAGGTTCACCTGTCCGACGACGCAAAGCCCTTGATAGACCCTAATACCTGTGCCACATTCGTCGTTCGTTTGCTTCATCATGCTCGCCAACTGTGGCCGCAAGCACAGCTTCCTATTGTGCGTACCTTCGCATTTTACCTTACTCTCCTGGAACCAGAGGGGGCTGGTACTATGGCATCAGCGACACCGCGAAATGTCCAGGTGCTGGCTGGGAAATGCAACACATTCCTTCGGTTACTCTCGCTACCTTGCAGACAGGGACCTTTCACTTCGGCTTCAATACAGCAGCAAGCACAGTTCGAGCTCCTTAGAGCAATGGCCAGAAATCAACCAGTCCTGCCCGTCACGCGTCGAGGATACCAAGCTATCATCGCGGTACAGCTAGCCCATAAAAAAACATTAGCTGAGAGACAATCCGCAGAACTAAAGGCTCCATCTTGGCCGCCATGGAAGGAGGAAAAGCTAGGTCTTGACTCTCAGAGAGGAATCGAAGGATTGAGGAGCCGTGCCATGCGAGTGATGTCTCAGATGAAAGAAGCAGGCTATGCTCATAGCCGCTGGGAGGAAGTATCCAGCATCTTTGCCGGATGGGACACAGACAAGAGTCCTACTATTCAAACAAGGACCCTAGCGCGCCAGCCATGGCGTCTGCGTGGACGTGTTGGAAATGCGGACCACCACGCAATCTGGGAAGCTCGTATCCGGGCTACAAGGACTGTGCGAGAAGCCTGGGCTTGTTTCCTGTCGTATCGAGACCAAGACTTGCCTCCACGCGGGAGCATCTACACTGCAATGGCTGAGAAATTGATCTATCGGCGAAACGCATTGTATACTAATTTTGACCAAACGAGTCACGCTCTGCCAGGTGATGCTTTGGAAACTTTTCCAGAACCTTTGTCTGCACGAGACTTAATTTATGTGCATACGGAGCCACCCACGTTAGATGAGCTCCTCACACAAATGCTCTCTGACGGGATCCGGCCGCAGGCAAGATTCCTTTCTCTCCTGCTACGACACGCACCGACCTTTACATCTGGCCTGGAATACCTTAGCTGCAGTGATTTGTCGAATGGACAGATCAGAGCCTTGTGCACTGTCTGGGCACATACGTCCGTCTACGATGAACAAAGTCGAAAAGTTGTAAACGAACTTCCCGCTCATCTATTTTCAGCCTTTGTATACTTCTTGTGCAAGTTCTCGACCTTCGGTGAATTGTCCGCCAGACATGCGAGAGACGCCTTTCCGATCATATTGGGCAGTTCGCAGATAGCACACGGGGAGACATCGACCCTTTTCTCCCAGGATGAGTACCTAGGAATTGGAAAGGAATATCGGCACCCGAAAACGTTAGCACACGCCGTCGAACTGCTTAGAGTACGGCAATCCCGGTCCCCTCAAGCGTGGGGTTTTGTGTTGTCGGCTTTGAACAAAGACCGCGTCACTAGTCGTTTCCCCAATATGAATCGAAACATTCAGCGTGTTATAGCTTGGCACGAAATCCTAGAAATCACAGGACGGATGGAGCATCACGATATTCAACTCGGCCTGCAGGGCTTCCAGACTTTATGCAACGGTTTTTCGAGGGCGGTAAACGCTGGGATCCAGAACCCCGATGCTGTGGAAGAAGCCCTGGAGGTTGTTGGTGATGCTGCGAATCAAGGAAAGCTGGCATACATAGGTCTCGCCTGCCCGCGATTCGAAGATATGGTCCAGTATGGTCTACGGGGCCTTAAAGACCAATTTGACCGGCTTGTTCTTCCAGACTCTAGAACTCCATCATTGTTTGGGTCTGGTAGACCATCGTCCGACAATGTCACTGATGCCCAAGTAATTTTGCCACCATTACTTCATGTGCCTTCTCCTGCCGGCCTTCACGCATTTGTCAGAGCATTGGGTCTGGCTGAAGACTACGATGGCCTCTTAAGCCTTCTCCGATGGATGTCTCAGTTTGCGGCGCCCCTTAAGGAAGCGTCCGATGAGTACTTGAACGGTGATGTGATGATGCGACGCACTCTGGTGGCAATGCGCTTATTTCTCGAGGGATACCGGGAAAGGCAGTCTTTGGAATCGCTCCGTTGGACAGCCTCAGCTGCGCAAGCGCGTGGCTTAAGGGAATATGAGCATACAAGTGAAGTTTCCACCGATGATTCTGAGAGCTTGTCATTCTCCGATCCGAATCTGCAAGAGGCATATGACATAGTCACGGCAACGCACATTTGGGGCCCCTGGCCTAGCGACGAGGAAGTTCAGGACTATTACGCTGTTCACTGGGAGGAGCATGAGGCGCAATAATGGAGCATCCAGCATTTTTGTACATTAGCTGTATATATACGTATTATAGATCGTGTGGCGTTTCAATATCATCGGATGATACCCCTTCCTAGCTACTACTACTAGTACATACCACAAGTACCGGAACTTAGTGAATGGTAGCGCTTATCCGCGGTAAAAGTTGGGGCCTCTCGGTCGATGGTTTCCCCGCAATCGCCGCAGCTCTTCAACAGCTTCCCCACACTTCGGAGCTTCCTCAATTCATCCTTCTCGCTTTTCACAACCATTCCTCTTGGGATATCTGACACAAGAGGAAACGAATTTCGTTCGATCGCCTGGATAGAATCAATCTCATCCCTCGAAGATGCCACCACGCCTGCCTCTTTTACATACATTGCGACAGCCCTCGGTCCTGTCGGTTCGCGTCAGAGTCACAAGATTTAGCACCACGGCGGATGATGCAGTGATACAGACCCAGCAGATCCCTGCGCCCGGCTCCGGGAATATTCGCGTCCTGCTACTGAACAGACCCAAGGCCCGAAACGCAATTTCTAAGAATCTTTTGGACGGTCTGGCTAAGCATGTCCAGTCTATATCTGCGGAGGGAGGCACCGGTCCGACACGGGCCTTGGTCATTGCCAGTAATGTGGATTCGGCCTTTTGTGCGGGCGCAGATTTGAAAGAGCGAGTAAATATGACCAAGGAAGAGTGAGCTCCCATCCTCAACCACTCGCCTCTCACTTGCCTTCGCGTGACTAATACTTTTGCACAATTGTTTAGGACAAATGAATTCTTGTCCAAGCTGCGCGGTACATTCCGTGATCTCGCTGGGCTACCCGTCCCCACAATTTCTGCTGTGTCTTCTATGGCGCTGGGAGGTGGGTTAGAGCTCGCTTTATGTACGCATCTACGTGTCTTTGGCTCATCCAGCATTGTTGGATTGCCGGAGACCCGACTAGCTATTATCCCTGGGGCGGGAGGCACGTACCGCCTCCCGGGGATTGTGGGCGTGAACCGCGCCCGAGACCTCATTCTAACTGGGCGACGTGTGTCGGGCCCCGAATCCTACTTTATGGGGCTCTGCGATCGACTCGTCGAAATCTTACCCGAAGAGGAGCAAAAGGAGGGCGCGGCGCGCGAGAAAGTGCTCCGGGAGAGCATCAAACTGGCCATGGACATTTGCGAAGGTGGGCCCATCGCTATCAAGCAGGCACTTCAGGCCGTGAATGACTTCCAGAAGGGTGAGGTGGCAGAAAATGCGGCTTATGACGGTGTGGTCGAGACGGAAGATCGCTTTGAGGCTTTGCGGGCGTTCGCAGAGAAGAGGAAGCCTGCTTTCCGGGGGCGATGAACTTGCCAAGTGTCCATGCGGTCAATGTAAAAAAAAAAAATGAAATGTTACTCGTTACCTGAGTTCGCGTGATGCTTAGACGTTGCACCTGGAAAATGTTTGTACTCGTCATAGATCTGAAAACGGTGATTCATAGAGACAATGCCCATTCCATGATCTGGAGGTGGCGATACTGGTATGGCGTACGGAGTATGGTCGGGCAACTGTCATCCACATCGTACTTTACCATGACACCGATGCATGTCTACCAATATACTAGTAGCTGTCTACACAATAGATGGAAACTTTTCATGCTAAATCAACCCTACTAGTCGGAACTACTGTCCGAAAGGGTTCCAAGGATCCTCCATATCTGCGTCTATGACTCCAATAGATACCACTATTGGTAGTGATCGGACCTTGGACCTTCTGAAACAATACATTTGAAACACGAGCTATAGCTGGTTCAAGGGACTCATATCCACTCCCTAGATTCGTAGTGGACGTTGTGAGTCAGCCCAACTTCTGGACCATCAAACCACAGAACCGTAATGCGACTCAGCCACCGAGCAAGTAGCAGTTTGATATGATGCCACTTGTTATGCATGCACCGCACTGGATTGTACTAGTATTTGGTGGCCGAATAGGTGAACTCCAAACAAAACACTCCCAGCTAGACATCTACGGCCCGATGTTTCGGATAGTAAGAAGTGATCAAGGATCTATATAAAGAATATCCGTCTGAACACTCAAGGTTCTTGGAAGCATCACGGCAGAAGGAGCCATGGTACACGACCAAGTAACTTATACACCGACCCAATCTTTGGTTCAGCACGTTTCATGGGAAATAAAACCAGGGTAGCCTAATAATGCCACTGCCCTGGAACGCCGAACGGGCCGTAGCTCCACAACTTTGTTTGTTGTATCAAACAGCAGGTGTCTCAGGCAACCAAGCAATATCGATCTGTAGACGCTTGAACCCGGTTTCTCATAGGGTGAAATATAGCGTTGCCTGTCATGTTAGATTTTTTTTTCCCTGTGGATTTTCGCCTCACGAACGGGGCACAGCCTTGTTGACAGGCATATATGCATATCTGTCCTTTTTCTTTTGCCTCGTACTTTGTAGTCCGTCCGTGGGCTTATGCGTCGTTCGATATGGTTCTATCCTCGTGAAGCTTATGCTAAAAGTAGAAACCAACAACAGGTAGCTGGAATGGAAGGTAGTCAAAGTAGGTTGAAAATATGACAGAAAAAGAAAGAAAGAAAAAAACAAAAAAAAAAAGCGAAGAGTCATAGAAACCTAGAAGGATGAGGCTCCCGAAAATGACCTGCATCAAGATTGATCGGACACCACAGCCACCATCGGGGCAAAAGAAGAGAGGCGATTAGTTAAAACCCCTGTTCAGAGACGCAAGGCTGATATGGTGGCTGCCCTGAATATGCTGGGATGGGGATTGACTTCTTCACGGTTCCAAACAAGAATTTCGCTGCGCTACGTGTACAAGCCATATTGGACAATTCCAGGAGTACTTTGGAGTCCAGAGAGCATCGGATCGTGTAATTTAACCCTCCCGTACACCCCGCAGGCTTGTTTTGCAGCCGATAGGACTGTAATGTATGTACGGATGTAATCTTCCCCGCGATCTGCGGCTGCACAACTTAAGTAGTACTTACTAGTGCTCGTACTGCGTAGGAACTACTAGTCGTACTTAGTATCTGGAGCTAAGGAATCCTAGTAGTCCACAAGAATCACCCTCATTTGGCTTCGGAGGCAGTTGGCTGTAGATCCCGAGAGACCAGATCATCGCATCGTAATCATTCAGGCCATGAAATTCTGGGAAAAATAAGAGAAGAGGAAATGACGAACGCCGCTCAGCTTCTTCCTCCCATGACCCCCGTTCGGGTGGTCATACCGACGAAGAAAGAGCAAACGCCCCATGCTCACGCGAACACAGACTATGGACACTTTCCTCTGACCAGAGGTTCCCAATAAATTACTCATGGGCACGAAGGATCAGCACCGGCTCTGCCACACCCGCAGGCACCAGGAACTTTTTGTCACCTGCTTGGGCCTAACAAAACCCCGCCTCCAATCACAAGAGGCCCTCTCCTTCTCTCGTATAAATACTGTGAACTTCTCCCAGTCTGCATCTGTACATTCATCCACTCCCCGATTATTATTACGACGACGACGGCGGATCTGTGTCCTTTCTTCGAGTACGCCGATCTGCGTCTTCCATATCATAAGTATTCAATTCACGTTGCCCCCTCCCTCACTACCCACCACCATTTCGCCACGATAGCGTGTCGACACACCCTCGCGGGGGTGTGATTATCATCTCTCGTATGACAGCCCTTGCCGCCCGAGTCAAGCAAATTGGCTTGACTCAGGTATACTGCTCTCAGGAGAAGCCGCTGGTTGATATTGTTCTTGTCCATGGATTGAACGGTCACCCCTACAACACCTGGGCCACCCAGGGGAATCCGCCCATGTTCTGGCCAGCTGACCTTCTCCCAGAAGTGTTGGAGAGTAGCCGAGTGCGGATCTTGACATATGGATATAATGCAAACGTTGCATCTTTCACCGACGGCGCTTCGAGAGATCGCATTCATCATCATGCCGAGACGCTTGCCTCGGGCCTGGCGGCGAATCGTAATGTGAGTGACTCGACTTTGTTGCAGTGTATTGGGGTTCTATGCTCTGACGTAGTTGGCCCTACTTTACCACCTAACCTGGTTGCTAACAGCCTCCCTTATATCTAGCTGCGGAGCTGTTCGGACCGCCCTATCATCTTTGTCTGTCATTCACTCGGTGGCTTGGTGGTTAAACGGGCTCTGATTTATTGTAAAAACGTATCGGATGCGAAAATCCAGCATCTTCGGTCCATCTACGTTTCCACGTATGGAATCCTCTTCCTCGGAACGCCTCACAACGGCTCAGATATCGCAAAATGGGGCCTATTACTGCAGAATATCTGCAGTGCGGTTCTGCCGAAAAAATACATGGAAACGTCCTCCCAGCTTGTCAAAGCCTTGAGAACGAATAATGAAACGCTGCAGAATATCAACAGTTTATTTGCCGACATGATGAGTAGATTTCATATCTACTTCTTTCATGAGACCCTTTCCACTGATGTTAAGGGGACTCGAGAGTTGATAGTGGATGAGAGCTCGGCCGCGCCGTATGCAGAAGGCGTAGAGCGCATGGGTATTGAAGCAGATCATCGGCATATGTGTAAATTCGAGGACGATAACGCGCCTGGCTATGAGGCAGTTGCAGAAGCTCTCCTACGATACTCCCGTGATGCACCGGCTACTATCTTGGACCGGTGGGCTGAGGAGGAACAGACCCGGAGGGCTGCAACACAAAATAAGCTCAAGGATCTTCTGAGGAATGGTAAGCATATTCAGCATCATCCCCAGCCTTAGGTGGTGGCATAGCCGCAACTTTCTAGTAGTCACAAAGCTAACAGGAACCAGAGAGGCCAGACAGCACCTCGCACATGGAGGGGAGTGAGCCGGATCTCCGCAAAATTGGTAGGACACAATTTCTTCCTGAGAATACCCCCCCTACGTCTTCTGTTACCATGAAGGAATATGAGGTCGAGGAGCCCCCAGAGATTTTATATGCTAGTAAGCACATTTAAGATTCGCTATTATCTCTACGTGCGTGAGGGAAGTTGGGTGATAGCGGTGGACAAAAAATCTGAAGGAAACAAGAAAAACAAAAAAAAAGAAAAAGAAAAAGAAAAAGAGTTAAAAAGGGAAACTATATCGCCCGGGATATTTCCATCCCATCGATTTTACATTGATGTCATGCATTTAGTTGTTTTGTTGCTTTTCTCTTGCGCCCCTAGGCGATGTGATCTTTATGTTTGATGAGTTCCTGTATTATAATGTTCCATCGTATAAGGCAAGTCAACGAAGTTGCAGTCAGATTATGCTGACTTCTCTGGTTCTTAGGTAATATCGTTCCTCCTCTGATCAGCCTAGCCCCAAACACAGGAAGACAATCTCCTGTATCAGACATAGCTGGAAGCGTAACCCTTACAGCACCTCAAAGGGAGCTATTTGTGGTGCCGCCGGGGTTCCATCCAAACGCAGCCTTTTTTGGAATGCAGAAAGAGCTTGAAATACTCCATTCTAGGCTGTACAAGGCAAAGAACAGAGCAGAGCGCCTCATGGCCGTTCTTATCTGCGGAGTTCCTGGTTCAGGAAAGTCACACCTCGCACGCCAATATGTCTGGAGCCAACGCGAAAAGTACCCCGGTGGTATCTTCTGGGTCGATGCGAAGTCGCGCGAATCAACCGCCAAGTGTTTCTGGGATATTGCACAGGCAGCTATGTTGACTGAAGCTCAGGACGTGCAACAGCCCCAGAAGCATGTAGAAGCAGTTCGAAACTGGCTACAAGTGCGTGAAGAATGGCTCCTAATTTTTGATGGGATCTCATTCGATCACCACGACGACCTCAATCATTTCAGACAATTCCTTCCCTTCAACAAAAACTGTAGTATTATCTACACATCTGTGGACAAGACGTTGCGCAAGAAGCAACGCTTATATGAGCCATACTGCCTGCAGATTAAACCTCTCCAGGTTGAAGACGCATGTAAGCTTTTCTTTAAAGACCTTGGCATCAGAAAGCCAACCCCGAGCCAAATCCGCAAAGCTACGGAACTGGTAAACCACTATGAGTGTCTCCCTCTGGCTATCCATGCAATCAGTCACCGTCTCAGTGCGACATCCAAATCTATCGACAAATATCACGTCAATTCCCATTTGACGGACGAGAAACTCGCAGAGCCATTTCTCAGCATTATGCATGATCTATATCGAATGGGGCATTTCGAAGCGTTGAATTTGATCAATATCCTGTCATTTTTCGGCCATCATGTCCCCGTTGGCTTGATTAACCTGGGAAAGGCTGCACTGGAGACGTGGCACGTTGAAATCCTAACCGGCAGCCGGCCTGGTGAGCAAGGGGATATTGACACTACCTTGGGGATCCTTATCCGATACGGACTCATAGAAAGAACCACAGATGCATATGCGCTCCAGGCAAAAGCGCTATCGCCGAGATCTGAAAAGGGTGAGATCTTAGACATGGCGGCAGTTGCTCCCGATCTATCGGAATCGCAAACAGAAAGTAGCCAAGATGCGTTTTTCTCTGTCTATCAGAGTTCCGGCTCTATTGACCTGATCAAAATCCATAGCGTTGTACAGGGCTTCTGTCGAGATGAGCTTAAGATCATGGACGAGGAACGAAAGAAGTCCTTTTCTGCCAATGCAGCTAACTCGGATGCTGGCTTTTATGATTCCTGGCTGGTGGTTGCCACCCGCATCTTCTGCATGTCCTATGAACACGCAAAGAAGCGGATGGACCGCGTTGATGACTATGGCTTAGTAAAAGACTATCGGGAATATGAAATGCATGCGTCAAGGCTGCTGGGGAACTTTCCCAAGAAATCTTCAAAGGAGCCAAAGACGCTTCGTGAAGCTCGGGAGGACCTCGGACAAATCATGAGGAGTATCAGTAACGAGATAGAGAGGATTTCGCCAAGTTCTTCACAGGAAATCGTTCGCAAACAGCGATCAGTCTTTGATCGGTCGAGCAGTTCTTCTTCGTCTGTTCCCGAGTCTGCGACAGATGAAGGGCCGTCGCGAAACTTAACATGGGAATTCAGTGATATGGTGGAGCCGAAAGTTGAATCACCGGAAGAGATGCCAGTGTCACCACCCCATTTCAACCTGAAGCCGTTTCTCCCTCACATCTTCCGATGGTCCAAGGGAGATGATGAGAAAGGGTATGAATCTGACGGCGAAGGGCTACAAGCTGTTCATCGCACCTCCCCGGCACTGTCACAGTTTAGTCAGGCAACGGAGAGACCAAAGTCTTCACGCTCTTCCAGTGCTGCACATACTACAGATGACCAAGAATGGCAGGTAGTAGAGAAGTCTCCCAGGCTCAAAGCAAGCAGGGAAAGGCGTTCGAAACAGAGGCCAAAGTTCCCACGCAACGCCTGGGGTATCAAGCCAGCGGCTCCTATTCTGAGAGTATTCCCGGTCGAAGGAAGAAGCGCATCGAGTAGTATCCTGGAGAAAGGAAGTCGAAGCAGCTCCATCATTTCTGCATCCGAGGCACTAACTGCCGTTCATAACGCAAGCCCACCGTCAGCTCACGAAAAGTTCGGGAAGGCAGTGAATGATAGGCTTCTGCTCCATAAGGAAAACGTACCAACGTATGCTACAGTGGCTGCTAGGCGTACCCAGGACGGTGCTACCTCATCATCGAAACAGCGGTCATCATCGACGCCTGGTGGACAGACACGTCCCAAACTCCTAAGACTGAAAAGTAAATCCTCCGGTGGCTCCCTTCATAGCCGATTGGGCAACGCGCCGATGCCCCCATTACCTCCTGATCTCAAATTAGACCCAATGAGTCGATCAACATACAGTGAGCCAGACCAAGGATATCTCACGCATCAATTAAACGCCTTGGACTTGAGGACACCGCATGATTCTCAGTACCGTTCTCGACACATGTCTACGGTAAGAGCAATGGCCCCTATAGACATGTCCGCAAGCACCCCTTCTGTTCTGACCTACCTGCCTCCTCTTCCGTACGACAATAATGTTGAGGTCACCTATTCTCGTCGAGTGAGCGCGACAACTCAAGATGTGCGTGTGAGTCAGCCGCTCGCCAGCTTTAAGCCAATAACGCATCCGTCTGCCATCATGCCCGGCGCATCTCCACCATCTTCTGTGGCTGCGGAGGCACCTACTGGATATACATCAGATCCGGCACCTGAACCGATGTCTCGAGGTGGATCGGCACAGTCCCATCAGTCTTGGGCCACCGAGCCAGTTCGTTATCCCCCCAGGCTCTCTCCGATGCCCTCGAATGTGCAAACTGCGATACCACCTGGTATATCTCATATCCTGCCTCAGCAACAAACCCTTTCCAATACTGGAAGCTGGATACGAGATATTCCTCCACGAGGAATTCCGAGTGCGCTTCAAGCGGATATTACCTGTGCTCCCCCGGCTCAAACAAATTTGAGACCGATCCCCCCGTTGGACGAACGTCTTGGCGCAGCTACCGCTTGGGATCCTGAGCCGCCGCCGACCTTGCAGTTTGGCGCCCATCGAGTAGACGTGCGTGATGCTCGCCAAAGGCTTGGGGGATACGGAGTATACGGGGCTCAGACGGTGCAGCCCGCTGTACCTTATAGCCTCTATCACGCCAACCGGTCAGGCCCCCTGGTTCACCATGAGCTCGGCCTCCAGCCACAAGAGCTGCAGGGTATGCGTGCTCGAAGTGGCAGCTCCCCTTCTCGGCCTGGATTTGACGGGCTTGGGGTAAATTGGTGACTTTGCAACATGAAGGACACATATCAGATGCTCAGGAAGCATTCTCCCAGGCGAATCAAATAATAAACACGAAACAACGCTAAGAGTGAAAAGACCAAGAGACGTATATACCCGAGTGATGATTGAGGGTCTAGAAGAGTTGCTGTATTGGCTAGATGAGACGGCGTTCACGGATAACGAGTGATGATCATGATTGCATATGCACTAATTGTGGTTCTCAGTTAGAGTAGCATAATCTAACCGCTGTAACCTAACCATAATCTAATCTAATCGGCCTCGATTAGATTAAGATATAAAATTCCTTAACTGATCTAGTATAACGGCGGTTATCTCAGATAACAATATCTCCTGATTATCTGTAACGGCGGTTGCCTTACTCCTTGTTGCCTCAGTGTAAGAGATAGAGCCAGGGCACCCTATTCCACAAGGCCAAAAGGTCATATAATTCGGGATCAACGATCCCGAATGCCCTGGGGGCATCTATATAGTATACCGCCGTTACATTACTATAATTTTTATATCTTTTTAATCTATAGATCTAATTCTATTATTCTGAATATATCTAATTTACTATACTAAAATCTAGCTCTGTTAGTAGTAGTTTAAAAATTAGAGAAATCTCTGATTTTTAATTCTGTCAGTTCTGACTATTTTAGTATTCTGACTTTGTCTATATTTATAGATAGCTGATTAAGAGATATATATATTTTTTTTAAATATATATTTCTATAGTAAATCTAGAGATTTAGATTTATTTTTTTATTATTGGATATAGAATATAGCTATATCTAAAATTCTAGATCTCTTTGAAAATCTAAATCTATATTTTTAGTCAATTTTGGTATAATTTTGGAAATATATAATTATCTGAACTTAGACTCTCTGGGAGAAGAGCTGTAAAGTAGGTCTAATTTATGGATATAATCTCTTTATATAAGCAGCCGCTGTATAAAAACCAGAGAGCCTGAGCTAGCTGAGGTAAGTACAAAATAAACACAAGTCCGTTTCTCCCTTTAAATTCATTCCTATTCCTACGCCTAGTGTCGACAAACACAATGCCTAATATGACAGTCGCTGAGCCCACTGGCCTCCCAACCATTGCTGAGATCGAAGCGGCAACTGACGTTCTCAGCATGCCTGACAATTCAGCCAAAGTTGTTCGGGTGAAGGAGCATTTTGCCGTCAAATTCGGCAATGGTATTCCACTCTCGGAGGCTGAAAACATGAGATTCCTTGCGGCCAACAGTAAAGTGCCGGTGCCGAAGGTCTACCAGGCTTTTATTGATCCGGAGACTAATCGGACTTTTATCGTTATGGAGTACGTCCACGGCGACAACCTTCAGAAATTGCTACCATCTCTTACGCCCTCCCAGAAAACCATCATCTGCAAGCTCGTTAAGGACGCAATGATTGATCTCCGAAACATTCCACCTCCGGATTATCTGGGTACCTTGAATCGCCGGCCTTATCATGACGGTGTCTTCTGGACGAAAGAACAAAACCCGTTGATCTCCGGCCCTTTTCCAAGCCAGAAGGAAATGAATCGTGGAATTCTAGAAAGGTTGCGCCAGACAGAATCGCCTCAGTATATTCGATTATTGCAAACAATGGTTGATAGCACACTGCACAGCCACCGGACTGTTTTTGCCCATGGAGATCTGCAACCGAAGAACATTATGGTCCAAGAAGTTGAATCTCATGATGGTGAAAGCCCAAAGTTCAAAATTACAATCATAGACTGGGAAATTTCCGGCTGGTACCCTGAATACTGGGATTTCTGCAATGCAACCATCTCCTGCAGATTTAAGCCTGACTGGCTCGCACTCGTTCCAGATATTCTGGATGAGTATCCCGTGGAATACCTCATGATGCACGTTGTTTATAGCACTGTATTTTACTAAAGAGGAATGAGAGTCTTCGTTCACTTGGCCTGCGAGCAGGGTCCAATGTCAGCTAATTGGCTTGACATATCCCATAACTGCGCTAACGGCTTTGACTAGACACCGTAGCCAGCGTTCGGTGTTTAAATTACAACCATAAGAACCAAACTCGTGGGGTGGAGCCTTAGGGGAAATGCAGCGCTTATTGATACTCCAGGGTAGAACTAGCGTGTGAGCAGAAGGCTGTGAAAGTGTGTTCACTGCTAGTACCGACCATGTGACCACCACCAGTTTAAGGGTGGTTGGCGCTAATATTCCAAGCGTCCTTGTCTGCGCCTGAATGTATTGCCACACGAGTGATGTTTTCGACGAGACTCAAGAAGCTAAACACATATTCCTCCTTTACTATTGTTGTGATCTCAGGGGAAAGATGGGCAGGATGATGCTGTATCAGCTACACATCCGTAGCCTACTGAGGGCCGGATGCCATTCCGATAGATACTCAATTCTATGGACGACCCTTATCGACCATCTCAAGCGCCTTCTTCTTCTCAACTACTAATACTATTGGCCGGGCCTTCAGGGGTCGGAGACCGCTAATCGGGCCAAGCTACTAGGATCGCGTGGTTGTAACGGCGGTATACTATATAGGTGCCCTGGCTCTATCTCTTACACCTGGATATTGAACCCGAACCCGACCCGATGCCAACTCTGATTGAGGGTCTAAAAGAGTTGTTGTATTGGCTAGATGAGACGGCGTTCGCAGATAACAAGTGATGATCATGATTGCATATACACGAATTGTGGTTCTCGGTTTTGTTTAGAAGGCTGGACTGTCCCGGTACCGCATATACAACTAAGCATTCCAGATCATATAGCATCAACTAATGAAACATTGCATATTTTCCGACCCCATGGTCAAAATCTCTCAATCTCTGGTATATATTCCCGGATAGAGGTGCATATTGAATAGAAAATCATCATCTAGCCCACGAGAGGGCACATCATGAGCCCGATGCAATTACTTCTCTTGTGCACAGCACAAGCATGCCCAAACAGGCCCGTATCATCCTTCGTTTTGTACAATTTCGCTTCATCGAAGCTCCACAGTCCCAGCGGATCAATGAAACATCCTCCCACATTAACGGAAGATGGTATTCCAATAATCCTCAACCTTTTCACAGATCCCCGTCTGCCCCTTCCAACTAATACTCTTACCCTCAAGCGCACAAGCCGTCCACCGAATCTCCCCCCACAGCCGACGCTGCAGATCCGGCCCAAACGACTCAATCACTTCCTCCGGAGCCGTCCACGCCAGCGTATAACTGCCATCCTCCTTCATCACGGGCCCGTTGTCCGAGAATACCGTGGCGGGATTGAACTTGGGGAAGTTAATGTGCACGAAAAACGGTTTCGGCGGCGGAACGCTGGCCCCCTTGATCCGCCACTCGCCCTTGGTCGTCAAGGCGTAGTCCTCCATCGGGCTATACTGAACCATGGTCGAGCCGGCGAATCCATCGTTCGTATGACGGCCCAGCGCGCGGATGGGCTCACTGACCTGGTAAAAGGGTTCGTTGAGCACCGTCGCGGCCGCGAGGAAGGTCTCCTTGTCGCCTTCGCCGGCTGCGCCTTGCGAGAGAAGCGGGTAGTAATACCCGGGACCCCAGTAGTTGTAGTAGGCGACGAGCAGCAGGGTCCTGAGATGCGAGCGCTTCGAGATAAACACCTCGCCCGATTCCGTCGACTGCCGGATGTTCGGTGCGGGTCTCTCCTGCGACGCGATGGTATAGTACAGCGGCGAGGCCGTGGGGCCCCAGAAATCCGGCCAGGTGATCAGACCCTTGGAGGTGAAGGGCTCGCTGGTGAATGCCCGCTCCGGCTTCTGGAGAGGAAACGCGTCCGCGTCGAGGAAGAGGATCTCCTCGAAGGAGGAGAAGAGCATGGCGAACGGCTTGTACTGGTACTTCTCGATCTTGGTTTTGCTGTGCGGGACCGTGTCCAGGATCTCCGAGAGCAGGACGCATTTGGCGTTCAGGGCCGGTAGCACTACCTGGCAGATGTAGCGTCGTACTCGTCCCAGTCGGCCAGGAATACTTCCATGGGCAGATTGGAGCCCGTCTGGCGCAGCATCCGGAGGGAGATGACGAGCACGGGTAGATACGAGCCGCCCGCGGTCGAGACTATCCCCCGCGTGCCTGGTTGGTAGGCCAGTGCTGGGGGCTCCTTGGCGATGGCGTGCACGAATTTGCTGTGTGCGTGTTTCATTTTCAGGACGTCTTCGTCGGGCATTCCGGTGAGGTTGGGTGGCTGGTCGGTGTTTTTGGGATCAAAGCCGACCGAGTCTGCCTTGGCAAGTCGCTCTGGGGGATCGCAGCCGGGTCCCCATTGTATCAATAGGGGTTGGAACTGTCTCCAGAACTCGCCGTGGGTGCCTGAGCTGACATGACTGTATTCTTCTGAGTGTGACCGATAGTGGGAGAAGAGCCCGAAGAAGATGGCCGCCAGACCCAGTGCAAGGAGCGCCGTTCGCCGCCGGCCTTGTGGTCGGGAGGGGGCCATGGTTTGAGGGGGAGGGAGAGGAAAGAATAGATTATGATGTCCTTTGGGGGTCTCATGATTTATTTATTTGACTAGATCGGACCGGAAGATGAACCGGGTGACAATGAACGTTACTTATGCGGCTAAACGACTGGCAATAAATAGATCTGCCAGAGGGGAGGGGGCGAGCAGGTCCCACCGACCAAAGAAAGTCGGCGCTCCAGGGCTGAAGTCCATTGGTTCCAATGGACTAGTGTGTTTGAAAGGCGACGAGGGTCTTTCTCTCCTAAGACAACAGGGTTCATTTAGTGGCTTGACCGGAGAGCCCAAGCTCGTATCACTAGGGAACCTATCGCAAGGAGATTGGTTTCGGGAGTGCGCGCCGTTAGGGTTCCGCTGGAATATCGGTCCCCTACCAATGCTCCCGGGAGTCCATTCCGTGTTCCTTAATTTCTCTTGTTCTTCCTGATTGCTCATGAAGTGCTTACCGACCCAATACTACCCCCAGTTGCCCGATCCTAACGATGGGGATTAGCATCAACCCCTATGATTAGGATCTGCTGCTCTCCTTACCGCGTCCAGATAGGGCACCGGGAGCTAACTGCCCTAGTGTCACGTTCGTAGACAACACGTTGCCCCAGTCCAACAGAGCGACACCCAATGAATGTCTCTCTCTGCCTATTCTACATATTAAATACCTCCACTATAGATATCCTTGTCATACCATATACAAGGGCTCCATCGACTAATGAGTCTTTTGGAGGTGCGACACACACACCACACACATCCTTGCCACTAAGTTGCGCGGCGCTGGGAAGTGATCCGGACTGTTCGAGAACGCATCCTAGCTATATCTTACGTTGAGGGGTGCAACCGCGTATGTTATTGCTTCTCCCTGTTCGTTTTACTGATTATGCAAGGTAATGCCCTGGAAAGCGTTGTGTGTTAGTCGATCCTAAATTTATATATCACTGTAAATCTCCAACCCGATGTGGAAGAAGGCTCAGCGCTGCACATTAACCCTAACTACAGCCCAACATCCTAGAAACAAAATATCCATAATCATCTCCACAGATCACAAAAAAAATTACTAGTTATATTCAAAGACCATCACTAGAAGCAAGCAAAATAGATAAGAAAAAAAAATCAAGCAATCAATCAATCAATCAAGAATGCTACCCGAACAAAGCCGACCAAATATCATCATCGTCGTCGTCTCCCAAAAGCTCCTCCTCCAACTCCTTATCCGAGTTAATGCGATACTCAACCACCCCCAACCCACTCACAACGATCCAATCCAACAGCTCCGGATCCGCATTGACATAGACCTGGAACGCCCACGCCTTCTTCTTCGTCTTCTTCTTCGACGACGAGGAGGAGGAACCGCCCCAGAGGGACGAATTCGATTGCTGCTGCAGTCGCTGGTGGTCCGGCAATTTCCACTTATCGAACCGGGCCAGCACGGTCTTGTTCGAGTCGACGAGCTTGAAGCGTTTCTCGAGGAGATCGCTTTCTTTCCATTCGAGGGTGCCGTAGCGGGGGTGGGAGAACTGGTGGCCGGAGGCGAGGAAGTCGCGACGCTTCATTTTGAGTTCGGGGATGTGGTGGATGGAGAGGGTGATTTTGGAGGACATGGAGGAGAGGCTGACGGTGCCGATGGTTGTTTTGGTAGGTGGGGGGTTGTACCGTGGGTATTGTTGGGGTGGGTATGGGCCTGGCAGAGGGTATGGTTGTTGTTGTTGTTGTTGTTGTTGTTGTTGTTGTTGTTGCTGGTGCTGGTAGTAGGTTGGATGTGGTGGTGCTGGTGGATAGCCATATGGTGGCTGCGGCTGGGGTGCCGGCTGGAGGCGGCAGATGGAGAGGTTCGGTGTCGAGGATAGACATGCCACTTCGTAGAGGGGGGTGGCGCTGCCGTTCCCCTGCTGCAGGGAGATAATGAAGGTGCTCTTTGATTTGAGTCGTTGGTAGGAGAGGAGCTGGACGGGTTGATCCATTCTTGTTCTTTATGTCGTGTGTATTCTTAGGGTTGGGGATGGAGTGTTTCCTGGGATGTTCCTTGTCTGCTACAAGGTCTGACGGGACGCGGATGTGTTTGTGTGTTATATAGACAGACCATTCCTCTCCTGTCTTGCTTTTCTAGGCTACAGTTATGATGTCCCCTGGGGTTCAGCATCCACGGGATGTGATTGGGCTGATTGGAGGCGATGAACTGGAAATACGAGGACGTTCGAGTCTGCCGCAGGGCGCAGTCGACCCGTTACTTAATCGAGTGCAACGTCGTGCTTAGGCAGAAGCATCATGCCCTCCAAGCTTTGTGCCAGACGGTTTCCGATTGGAGGGTATCCAGCGGGTCTCCTCCAGTTCTTCAGGATAGCCGGTACTACTACTACTAGTACCATGCCCCCGTACTCTAATTTGGTGGGCCTTCGTGGAATGCTTTCCTATAGGGCTAGCCTCGTTCGGAGAGCGAAGGTTTCGTTTGTCTTCGCCAGTCAGATTCAACTCGTTAACTGTGTACAGCCAGATGTGGCGCTTCAAGGTATGATTATAGTTGAATGGCCTTGGCTTGGCCTTTCTGCATTGCTGTACCAACCATAAAAGTCATTCTAGAGACTCAAGTAACGGGCGGAAGACTTGGAGTTAGGGCTTGCATGCACTGGTGCCTTAGGCCAACAACATGCCTTTCCGAGAACCTCACGAGCTTCTGGGGCTCTTCCTGGGTAGTAGTCCACGAACGACTGGTAATAGTGACTAAGATCTCCGTAAAGAACCATCGAGAACTCCGGTATCTGACATGTTCCGAGTAGAAATGAAGGCCAAGTTCCATCATTTACTTGTTTGGCCGCCAATCACCTGTGACCCACTAAGCCCGGTTAGGCAAGTCACTGACCGTTTAACGACGTCAGTGACCTATGACGTCGCCAATGACGCTGAACAACGTTGGAAATGAGAAAGTCGAGTATCTATAAAAAAGGAGCTGATAGTTGGAAGTTCCATGAAACAATCATATTCTCTAGATACCGAGACGACTTGCCATCTACCACATTGCTTGATCTTACAGTTGAACTCCGACATCAACCCATTGAACCACCATGTCTTTCATCACCCGTGTTGCTCCCCGGTCTCTGAACGCCATTGTCCGTTCCACAGCTACTCCGTCTCTACGGGTAGGAGGTGCCCGCTCTATCTCGGTCACGGCAGCAAAGCAAAAGGGTCCCGTGGAAGCAGCCAAGGATACCCTGAAGAAAACCGACGACGTTCTCTCCGGTGCAGCAGTGAAGGGAATCGAGAAGGGCGGTATGTAGCAATCGCAACCTCTCCATGTGGCCTTGTGCGACTGGATTCTGACTGAATTCCTCAAATAGAACAAGTAGCAGACGCGATCAAAGGCGCCGCCAACAAGAACAAGGGCGAGCTCAAGGGCGATGCTGCGGAGCTTGCTGGCCAGGGCAAGAGCAAAGCGGAAGAAACATTGGGATCTGCAAAGGGCAAGACCGAGGAGACCCTTGGCTCAGCAAAGGGCAAGGCCCAAGAAACTCTAGGCGAAGCCAAGGGTAAAGCGAAGGAGACGGTCGGCAAGTTCTAAGAGTCTCGAAAAGAAGTGACTGAGGACCCGGAATGACTAGAACGACTGCTGCACGCATGTATTTACGATTTCGCATAATCTTTTCCTATAATGTACAATATTAGTATTGTGATCTAAACCCCACTGCTGTAGAGCCCGCGTATGGATGGCAAGGTTTCCAAGCACTTCGGGGCTCATTCCGTCCGAGCTAGCATGAGAACGTATTCTCGGGTACTCAATCCAAATTTGAGCACGTCCTTGTCTCTCACTTCAACATATCGTCCGTCGGGAATTTTCTCCCCATTGACTGCCGAGCCATTGGCACTCTCGAGGTCAATGAGGTAAGGCCTGACACGCCCAATTCGATCGCCGAACTCGTTTCGCTTTTCGACGTATCGGAATTGGAGGGCGGCGTGTTGTTTGGAGCAACTCGGGTGTTCCAGAGGGAAATCCACCACCAGGTTCTCTCGACCTATAAGCCAGCAGCTGCGCTCATTCAGTTCGACCACCTCAAGAAGATCGTCCCCCTTGAACACGTAGAGACGCCAGGGGTCTTTAGCGGGGGGTTTGCGGGCTTCCGGAGGCTCATGGTATTTGAGAACCACGGTGCCTCCTCCGCTGACGTTCACAGTATTGCTCTCAGCCGCCAAGCGCCCGGTGTTGGCGAAATTGGGCTTCTCCTTTTCTGGTGGAGGGGCGGATGAGTCCTTCTGAGCTACTTCCGATGTGTAAGCGTCTTGTTGAGAAGGCAAGGCGCCCTTAGAGCGCACAGGATCGCGTGACGAGGGACTATGCGAGCGCCTTGTGGGTGAGCGGGAACGGGATTTAGTCCGGTAGCTTCTCGAGGACCTCTCTTCACCATCGTGTGTATCCCGGTCGCGATGGCGTCGATGGCGACGTTCTTCCGGTGAACGATGGCGACGTCTTCTCCGATCGTCGTCCGAATTATCCGCTCGATCCCTCCGCTCCCGGCGGCGATGATCCTCGTCTCTTCTGCGGCTGCTCCGGCCTGAAGGGCTGCGGGATGACCGGCGTCGTGAGCTATCTCGTCGAGAGCTCCGACGATCGTCACGACGTCGCTCACTACTTTCGTCTTCCTCGTCCTCTTTTCGTCGTCGCTCACGTTTCGCATGCGGGGGACTGGCTGGCGATCGGCGTCGCGACCGATCGCGGTAGTCGTCTCGCGATTCCGGCATGGTCAGACGTGTCGAGTGAGATTGGTTCACTTGACCGGGTGGGAATTTGCTGGATCTCTGCTTCAGGGCCTTCGAGGAGCTGAATGATGGCGGCGGGGGGCACGTGATGACTGATTATCGCCGGTGGATCCGCTGGTTAGTAAGTTCTGCAATGAAATGGACTTTCCGCCTCTCTTCCGTATCACATCCCCTCTTATTCCCTAGGAGGAGTAACTGACGCCTCCTCCTTTGAAAACATGCGGCCATGTTTAAGAAACCTCATGTCTTCTGCTTCGGCGGGTTGCAGGTGCTAAATCCGTCATGCCCCCTATCACCACCGTATCCACGCCCCGGGCGGTTCCCTCCGCATCGGTGTTATGCCACTGCTGATGGTTTCCGGGAAGATGACCTCTCCTGGCCATCCTCCTCCTCTTTTACTCCTTATGATGTGTTCAAGCAAGACCGGAATGCTCCATATTCGAAGCACCGGTTCTACGAACTAGTCAAGATTTACCACCCGGATCGACCGTGCAATGATCATCCGCTATGCAGAGATCTCTCTCCCGAAACGAGGGTACACAGATACCATATTGTAGTTACAGCCCATGAGATCTTATCCGATCCATCTAGGCGGGCGGCTTACGATCTGTCCGGTGCTGGATGGAATCTCCACCCGCAAGGTCCACACCCGCCCTGGGCTCGACCAGGCTCGCGGGATTGGAGTCCTATCTATGCTAATGCAACTTGGGAAGACTGGGAGCGATGGCAGAATCGCTACAATGGAAAGCAGCAAACGATGGTTGACCATCGCACCTTTGCGCGATTGGTTATATTACTAACCCTGCTGGGAGGAGCGCTGCAAGCATCCTGGATCAACAAACTGAGTATCGGATATGACGATCGACTCCAGCAGCTCAATGAGGAAACTATGCGACTCCTGGCGGGACGGCGGGAAAATACTGTGAAGCAGATGCCATCACCGGAAGCTAAAGTCCAACATTTTCTGATCCGGAGAGATCCTTCAGGTGTGGGGTTGAAGGGGGAAGAGCAACAGGTCTACCAGAAGATCCTCTATCCTCGAGAGTCTGGCTCTGAAGAAGAAGCGGAGCCAGTGAAGAAGACACCGAGCAAGACGACCACGGAAGCTAAAGAGCCCGACCCAACTTCCTAAAGCTGGGTTCAAGGGTAAACACAGCGAGTGATAAAGGATGACTAGTATCCTATACATATATATATGTTATCCTTGATTCTCATCTCATGACTTCCAGAAGCTATGATGTCATTTCTGTATAAGAAGATGCATAAAAGTTGCATAAAAAAACAAGTAGACTAATCCCAATAATCAATCAATCAGATTAGGATTTACCTTTCGGTGGGACCCATCGAGGCCCCAGTATACCGAGGTTCGCCCTGAAGATGAGAAACCGTTTAAGCATCCCTTGCGAGACAGGCGGCGATCTCTTCACTCTCCGCTTCTCGGACTCCTCCCTCCCTTTCCTTTTCTTCATCTTGCTGGCTTCTCTTGGTGCCTTTGATTTACTGCTAATCCGTAGCCATTCTTTGTTGTTGTTTCAGGCCGAGACTCGTTCAACTTCGTACTTTTTATACGGGAGTGTTGCAGGCAAGTTGGTCGGCGCCATGAGTACTCTCGGGAGTCCTATCGCTCTTTTGAAGGCAATGGTGGTGAGGATCCCCCTCATCCTCAAGACCTTGTTTCTTCATACCATTCGCTTGTCCCCCGTGTCGGGAAAGCAAGACCTGCGGACAGAATTAACCGTCGCCATCATCCGCTCTTTTATTGCCTTCACGACGACCCCAGTCGGCAAACAGCAGAAAGGCAGCATGCGTGACCCGGGCATCAAGGGTCCTATGTGGATTTCGAAAGTGACATTGCCTCCGCCAGAGAATGAGGTACAAGAAGCCGTGTTCCAAGCTTTTGAGGATCTGAAACTGGGCGGCGAGACCTTCGATATCCCCGGTGTGGTTCCGGTTGAGGCTGAGTGGACCGGCTACCGGAGTGGTGTGAATAAGAACGCACCGCAGCCTGAGATCTCGGAAGAAGCCAAGTATCAGGAGTTGCGGAAAGAAGCGCAATCCGACACGGTCATCCTGTATTTTCACGGAGGGGCTTACTTGTCAGTCTTCCTGCATTCTCCTCATATCCACCCCGTTCCCTGCTTGCTTGCTCATAAAGCTGACTACAACAGCCTAATGGATCCTTGCACCCATCGGATCCCACTCGCTCATCTGTCTAAGAGGACCGGTGCGCCCATTCTGTCGGTGCGATACCGTCTCGCCCCGCAGCACCCCTTCCCCTCTGCTCTCGTGGATGCTTTGGTCGCGTATCTGTCTCTCATTGCCCCGCCCCCAGGCTCTCTCCACGAGCCCGTGCCGGCAAAGAAGATCATCTTTTCAGGCGACTCCGCGGGTGGGAATCTATGCTTGGTGCTTCTCCAGACGCTTCTGACGCTGCGCCGCGTCTCCCCGACCATCCGCTTCCACGGGCAGGAGATCCCGATTGAATTGCCCGCCGGAGTAGCCATGAGCTCACCCTGGTGTGATGTCACACGATCCATGCCCTCAGTCGTGAACAATGCGCTATACGACTATCTTGCCCCGCCGTCCCAAGTTCCCGAGACACTCTACCAGCCCCCCGATATTCCTGCCGACGCCATTTGGCCCTGTCAGCCGCCGCGAGTCGACCTGTTCTCCAATGCCAACGCAGCCATCCACCCGCTCGTATCGCCTCTGGCAGCACGCAAAGAACTCTGGAAAGGCTCGCCGCCAATTTACATGAACATGGGCGAAGAGGGCCTCTCGGACGAAGGACTCCTTCTGGCTCGCAAAATGTACCAAGTTGGGGTGCCGGTTGTGGTCGAGCAATTCGAAGGCATGCCGCATTGTTTCGGTCTTCTCATGGTCAAGACGCCAGCCGGGAAGCGCTTCTTCGATGGCATGTCTCGGTTCTGCGCGGATGCGATTGAAGGCCATGTTCAGCCATCCAGTAATTTAACGTACATTGGGTATAAGTTACGGTCGACTCGAGAGATCCCGTTGGATAAGGCTGTTTCCTTGACTGACGAGGAGGTTGATGAGCTATTGCGCAAGAGTGCTGGATGGAGGATGGAGGGTGAAAAAGAACTGCAGAAGCAATACTATGAGAAGGCCAAGTTGTAGATTTACAGGTTTGGCTATTAATTGACCCGCGATTGAGGATGGTGCAGGCCGTTGCCATTTTATCTTCTAGTCTGTATGGCATTATTGCAGAGAGGATTTAAAACCACTTGTTCTTTACGCGGGTGATGTACTCGCTCAAAAGGAATTGCTTGGGTGACGGGATAGACATAAATGTCAAGTGACTTTCCCACCCCTAACCTAGTCATACTACTTATTTGCACCCACTATCCACACTTGTTGGTTGTCCTCTGCAGGTGGGCTAAAATGGCAAGACACTCAGCGACACAGATGACAGCTGGGCTGGATCGGATCCTTTATTCCGGTTCTTAACTTCCAGCAGCAATGCCTTGTCCGTATAGAAAGGGGTCTCCACGGAGCGTCACACACACTATCCCGTGGAACTAGGTTGAAAAGGAAGGCCGCAGAGATGTTTGGCATATCGAGGCCTTCTGTCTCAGGTCAGTTGAATCATTGCAAAATAGAGCTTACTTAGACCTAACAAGTTACTATATTCATGTAGATATCAAAACCGATCCAACTGAATACAAAGCTGAGGATGCGGCCATAGTCAATGGAGCCCTCATTTTGTTCCTTGCAGCCGTTTCAAACCTCGCAGGGCCGCTCGTGTCCGGTTGGATACTGAAACGATTACAGTTTTCTCCCAGGTTTAACAAGGCACACTATATTGTCTTCACCGACGGTGGTCTCTGGAGTGCCATTACTCGTCATATCTATGCCATCATAGAAGTCAGGAAGCACCAATTTTGATTGACCACGGCGAAGGGAATAAAGATACCAATGCAAGAGTCAGCACAGTCGGTCGGCACCCTGAAAAGAAATAAGGAGGATTCAAGACTCTTTAACAATCAGTAAGTCATTGCATTGTATTGGCTTGGACTAAACAGCCAGTTGCTGATTCATAAAGTCTCCTGGTTGTTAGCCAAGATGCTAACGAAATATATATTACCTTTGGGAAGCCGGGGAATAGGTATCACTACTACATCGATACAGGGGTGGTCACTGAGGATTCTTTTCTCCAGATGCAACGGTATGGGCCCTGGCTCACCAATAACAGCAGGCATATGTTGAACTTGGCAATTATAATAATTGCAATCGTTCTGAAAGTTAGAGAGCTTCAAGATTAAAGTCCAGAGCCCAAAGGTTGGGTCATCTTTATATCCTCCTTCTCAAGTATCTGTCGATTGACAAAGTACTACGTAGAGCAATCGGGTTCGTTGTATCTTTAGTTAATTGAGAATAATTTTACATTATGAGAATAACCAAAATATTTCTAGAGTTCCTGTCAGAGCATAAATCTACGTTGAGTCCAGGGCGTGCATATAGATTTTAGCCCACGGAGCTGGTCTGGGAAACCTTTGACTCGGCGCAGGGTGCCATCTCGAAATCTATAACCAGCTTAACAAAGCTGGGTACCCGCTGTAGCGCAAGGATCTATTGAATCATTCAGTAAACGCATCATCCGATAGCCAAAGCGAAGCAGCTTACCATCAACATAGTTATACGTGAGCTCGCCATCATCCACATTGTTGTTACCCTGAGGGTAAAAGTATGGCACACTACCGCACTGCTTGCAACTACACATCCAGACAATGTTAATCACTTGTGCCCGAATTCCCAATCCAGAGACTCTCCCAGACAACATACCCATGATCCGTAATATAGTGAGCCAGGTTCTTAATCACACCGCCGTTGGTTCCACCGGTCTTCTGCAGGAAGGCGCAATAACCACCGCCATTACCGGCCTGGTTGCCAACACAGGCGATGTGCTCTCCGTTCATGTACCTGTTCGCCATAGGTGAGTCGGATGGTTGGCATTTAGATAGAGGCAAATAGGCTGCACGTACCATCTGTTGACATCGATATGTTGAATCACATTGGTGAGTTGCTGGGCCGCATCAGAAGGCCCCCATAATGCGCTGCACTTTGCGGAACCGCGACAGTTGATCCCGAGCTTGGCATTTGCAGTGAGCGCACTTGCGACTATTAAGAATACTGTGGCCAACATGCTGAGAGATGTTTCTTTGGGAAATAGATCGTGGGAGCTGGTATCGAGAGTTGTGTGTTTTCTGGAGACCTGAACTACCTGGTACCATAGCCCAATTTATAGAAATCCGTATCTAGGCTCATACCATGCTTCCATAAGTTAATGTGCAAGTTACTAAATGTCTCCCATACCGGTCTTGGATGCTCCGCGGTGGACTGTATTAGGAAAATGGTCTCTAGAACACATATTCAGCAAGGAGGCTGAAACCATGCATCAACGCGATGTCACCCATGTGTGTAACATGGCTGACGACAATCAAGGATCTCCTGGGTAAAAGGGCTGGAATACGAACATCGGGGCGTCGATAGTCACCTTAGGCTGCAAAGCGGGCCGCATAGGGCTTACCGCAATAAGCTCAAATAAGCATCTGCAGCCCCGTGGAAGCCTGATCGGCTAGCCCGAACTAGAATCTGGTCCGCGTTCCCGGAAGACAGCTGCCGAACTAAGGACGAAAAAGGGAAGGGGGATCGCCCTTTTGGGAAGAAGAACAGGGCCCTGCAGGGTAATCAATTAATCACCCATAATCATTACGAGATTCTTAGTTTTTGAGACATTTTCTTGGCAGCTGAATTCACTGACCAAATTCCTAAACGGGTAGGAGGATTGTATAGCAGACAGATTGTAGTTGTTCTTCGTGGTAGAGAAAAATATATGTAAAAGCTCGAAAAGATATATAAAGGTGACTTCGTGCAACGGATGGTAACCCTAAAAACGACAAGCATATTGAATAATCCTCCCGCTCTAATCTGTCTATACTTACGACTTGTTACCATTATATATATATATAATATTAATCCACCATGTACACCCCATCCATCATCCAAGGGCTCCTCCTCGCCATCACCCTGGTGTCCTCCTCCGAAGCTGCACTCGGAATCAACTGCCGCGGATCAGCGAACTGCAACACCTTCGGCAACACCCAGATGGCCTTTCAGCTCAAACGCGCCATCGACGGCATTGACCCCAACCGCTGGTACAATAATGGTGAGCACATCGCCTGTGTCGGATCCGGTGCTCGCATCACCGGCAATGGCGGATTCTGTGCGTTCCTACAGAACACCGGTGGCACCAATGGTGCTGTGATCAAGAGCCTGGCTCACTATATTCCGGAACATGGGTATGTTGCTCCTCTCTCCTTGTCTAGGTGGAAGTTGGAGGAGGGTTACTGATACTATGTTACAGATGCAAGGTTTGCGGAAGTGTGCCGTATTTCTATCCTCAGGGCAATAATAATGTGGATGATGGGGAGCTTACCTTCAATTATGTGGATAATGCGTGTACGAAGGATGAAGCAAAGCTTTGTTGATGCAATAATCCAGAGAGAAGGTGCTGAAACTATCACTACTAAAAATGAAGGACGTCTAAAAGATTAAATTTTTGCTATTTTCATTGCTGTTCAAGGCCGTAAAGCGTGGCATCTTAGGCAGGCCAATTTCTGGCCCATTTAAGCGCTTCATTCAAACCAAAATCTAAACATCAAATGACTGGGCACGCCGCGCGTGCTATACTGTCTCTTAAAGGACGTTTGTGAATTGACGCAGCCTATTTTTTTTTTTTAAAAAAAAGGTGGAAATAGCCATAGAGCCCACCTGGACTGACATCTGAAGTAGTCAAGTGTGGGTACTTAGTGTTGGTCAGTAGTTGATGATATACATACAATCTGGATCAGGGTTTAATTCCAGCTATATCTGCTCCAAGTCAGACATCCTTGACATTAAGTTACAAGAAGAACAAAAGGCTATTCAAATACTTTACCATCCCAAAAAAAACCCAGTATTTCATCGCTAGATAAATTCATCATCATCCATGGAGTCGTCGTCCAAGTTGGCCTTACCCTCCTGGCGTACATCCGACCCTAGATCCAATTCGGGGACAGCAATTGGAGTGGGTTTCTGAGTCGGTACCTGCTGTTGCTTCTTAGGTGCGCTGAAGTCATACTTAGAGGTTGCAAACGCAGGAAAACCTTCCACACGAGTCCCACGTATCCGGATCTCGCCAGAAAGGTTGAGCGCTCGATGGGGCGTATCATCCACATAGCCATCTGAGATCCCCAGAAGCTGGGTCGTGAGTCTGAAGAAAGCCACCATCACAGCCCAGAGCGGAGTCCAGATGGCCGATAGGTGCAGCCAGCGCCAGAGCATTGTTGGAATGACGAACGGAAAGCGTGGAGCATCGGGAAGCAGACAATTTCCTTCGCATGCCTCAGCAACAAAGGGATGACAGTAGTAATCACACATCGTCGACTCAGAGAAGTACCACAGAAGCAACAACCCACTGCACCATCCAAGGAGAGTGGGCCGAATACGGCGTGAGCTAGGGTCATATCTCCATAAGCGTGGGAGATAAATCGCAGAGGTGAATCCATTATGGTGAGCTTTGCAGGTTTTACAGTTGTCACACGTATGACTCGATGGTAGCTGTCCTGTCGGAGAAGCTGGTATTGCAGCAAGAGTAGCGGCATCCCGGAAAACTTGATCTTCCAAGCCATTAAGCCCTTTCTTCACCTTGTTGATATTCTCGGTCAGGGACTCCAGTTTTTTATTCAGCCTGTCGAGATCGACGCCATCACTGCTTCCCGAGCTTTCGAGTTCAAGTTTCTGCAGGATAGACTTCTCGTATTCTGCATCGTCTTCTGCTTCAGTTTTCAGATCACTTGGTTTCTCGTCAAGGATTTGTTGGAGAGATTCCAGCGTGTCGTCGCCGACGTCCAAAGAATCCTTGTCAGCCTTGAAATCTTGCATGACGGTTTCCAAAGCACTTTTCGGGAGATCAGGTTTGATCAGCGGTGGCCTCTTCTTGTCTTTCTGTTTTCCTGCTTGGTTCTCTGTCTTCTTGCCCTTTTCCTCGCCTTCCTTCTGACTCGTATCCATTGGCTTCGCGTTTGCCACACTTTCCCTTTCTTTCTCCCAAGCCTTTGGCTGGTCTTGCTCCTTCCTTTCTTTCTCGTTTACATTATCCTGCTGCGATCCAGAGCTGCTGGGCTCTTCAATAATGGTTGGTACTCCAAGTCCAGATGATGCTGCGAGACCATTATTTCCGGATGTTAGCGGTTTTAGGTTGTTCAGACGAGGCTTTGGGAGCTCTTTCATTCGTTCAGTCAACGGCGTATCTATCCAGGCGCCAGTTACAACCGGCGTTTTGTCGTAGATCCGCCTCTCAGGGAGTTTTGAGTTTTCTGGTGTGTTGAATTCAGCTTGGTTTTGGGGTGGGCTCTCCGTCCTGGATAGTTTGCGTAGAAGGTCATGCGAGTCCCTCTTGGTTGGACTTCGTTTGCTAAATGTAGAGTTCTTATATACCATGATTGGGGTGTTCGGAATTGGGCTTCCCTCGCCTAGGTTCTCGTCCTTCTGCCCTGAAAAGAGCTTGGCGTGCGCATCTGAGGGAGGGATCCTATTATACCTATTGGATGGAGGCTCAGCCAGTGCGTTCCGGCTTCCCTCACTGACTCGATCTTCAAATCCGATATGTGTGCGCATGTCTGTGTTGAATTTATGTGGGGAAGCTTCTTTGCGCCCTTCCTCAGTCCGTCCGGACTCGGATTCGGTGCGTCGGGTGATATTCCTAAGCCAGTCCCGACGATGTGTGCCCCTGCTCCCCCAGTTGGCGGGGACGTTCAACGAAGGTCTGAGATGGTCTTCCTCTTCATCCTCTTGAAACACATCCTGCTCTTCCTCGTCACGTCTTTGTAAATTCTCTGATGTCAACGCCGCCGGCGTTCCGGCTTTGCTCAATACAGGCGACCGGTTCGCGGTAGCTCGTTTTAAACGTTGTTCGTCCTTGATGTGATCGGCCAGTTTTCGGCGGAGGGACTCATCGCTGACTTCGTTCAAAAAGTCTGCGTCTGCAGTGCTAAACAGACTATTTCCTCGGGTCCTAGATCCAGATGATGAGCGTGTACTTCGATTGTCGCGGAACCGGTTTGCGGAGAAACGGAAGTCCTCTTCATCCTGATCGACTAAGCTTCCGGCGTCGTCGATTTGCCTGTATGTTTCCGCCAGCTCATTCGGGGGGTTGGACTCGGGGGATGTGTGGGCGAAGCTCTGTTTCCTCCGATTCGGGGTCCCCAATGCATAATGGTCCCCCGTAACGTTTTCCGACATTGTTGGATACCGCGATACGGTTTCGAACGCACCTCGTAGGGTGCCTGATTGGCTGAGGTTCCTCCGGCGCCGAGCGCGAAACTCGCCCGCAGGACTGGGTATTTGCGACGCGTCAAAACGGTCGGTGGCGTGGGATTCAAGGTATGCTCGATGGAAAGGAGAGGGTTGCTGTTGCTCGTAGTTGCGGCGCGACAGCCCTGTTCGTGCGGGCCTGCGGTCGGTGGTAGCCATGGTGATCAGTGGGAGGTCCCTCGGGCAATTTCATTAACCCGCCCATTCACTATTTCATATGGCTAAGGCAGAGGAATGTGCCATGGAGAGAGTGTGTGTGTCCAGGACCGCAAGTGAATGCAAGAGCAACGCGCGGGTATCGAGGGACTCCCCAATCGGGTTAGCGGCGCGGAGGAATTCATGGGAGGCATGAGAAAGTCAACCTCCTCCTCCTCTTCTTCTTCTTCTCTCCAGTTGTCCCTTCTCATGGCTACGCTTTGAAGCTTGCCGATCGATTGCACTAAACTCCACGGTACGAATCAGGCCCCTCTACCCGTCGTCATCTGCAAGTGGATGTGATGAACAACACCTTGACTGACCCGACATGTGACCCGATCAGATGGATTGATCGTCCCCCCCGCATAGCTCATCGATCTTCGAATACTAGTATACGAAGACCAGTTGGATTTAAGCTTGGAACGGAAGCCTTTCAGTCTAGGAACTAACTTCCAGAACAATCGATTTACAAACCCTCCCTTATATGTGTTAACCAAGCCCAACCACTCTATCATACGATATGGCCAAATCTGCAAGACGAGCCGGAAAGGCAAAGGCCTCCGTAACCCCCTCCGTATCATCATCAGGCGCTTCAACTCCAAGCTCACAATCGGGCCCCCTTCCTCCGTTCACCAAAGCTCCCGCGTCTCTCCAGCCCTTCCTCGAGCCGCTCTCCCCGAAGGAAGTGTACCTCGTCCACATCGACGCCTCTCCCAAAGACCTCAAGCAGCAGACCTTCCTCGCACCCACCGTACTCAATGTTGTGATCGCCGCTCTCTTAGCTTTCCGGGCCTACATGGTCCGCAATTTCTACCCGGCACTCTTGGCCCCGTTGGTCGGGCTCACTAGCACGGTGGCTGTAGACACGTCAACCATGTCATGGGGGGAAATGGCGAACGTAACCCTGCGTCGAACGGGCAACATCGTGATCGACTACTTTCTAGTGACGATTTTTCTATCTTGGCCAATTGGTTTCGTCAAGGGCCCTGTCAAGTGGCGCTCCACGATCGGCTTCCGTGACCAGGAGATCATTGTCCGCCGCAGTCAGCCCACTTTGAGCCGAGGATTGGACCGCAGCCGTTGGATCAAGGACGACGAAGAAATGAGAGACAAGATTGTCGCTGCGGTAACACCGGACCGAATCAAGAAAACTGGTTACTTGCTCGTGGATGCAGACTGGAACCTTGACTATGATGCTATGATCAAAGCACACGAGCTGGTAGACAACGCAAAGAAAGACGACGGACTGTCGTTGGAGGAGTTCCGGACTGCCGTAATCGTGAACACAGACGCCGATGGCTGGTTGATCTGGCACGTGGAAGATGAGGACACGCCCGAAGGAAGGGAGCGATCGGGCCAGCGAGACCAGATCCTGGCGTTTAAAGAGAAATTGACGAGCATGGGTAAAGAAGACCTCTTCTTCCGTTGGGTGGAGTTGATTCAGTATGAAAGCACACGGCCCGGAGGGTTTACTCCCGAGAGGCAGCAGTCGGCGATGGTGCAAGCAAAGAAACTCTTCGAAGATGAAAACGTTGATTTTGCTCGCTTTTGGGAGGAAGTCGGTGGGTTGCAGGGTTTTACTGAGCAGCTTGATTGATCCCATGCGTGCCTCGTTATCAGTCTTTCTTTCCTACTTTTCTTGTAGCTTCTACGGTTTAATCCGCTTTATCGATGCTATTTGGCGTTACATGTTACCGAGGGTTGCTTAGCAACCGGGGGAAAGTTTCGCATTTTATGAACATATTAGCGTCTAATTCAATAACCATTTGTTTTGCATTGTCCTAAATAAGCACCGTTGTGTTTTCAACGGAGTTGAATATCGTAACCAACGGAAAGGGTCAAAAACGAAACATAGGAGCATATCATGTCTCGAAATCGATGGGTATCATTCATGCAATTTCATGACGTATAGATAGATTCGGAGAGCCGACTAGCACGGTTTCCAAGTGGTTCATGAAACCTACTCACACTCGGCTTCTACTCAATTATCGGCTACCGCCCTCCAAACGATAGTCCACAGACCAAAGTTTCTCCCATGGTCGGTATCGAGCAGCCTGCCGCCCGCTTGGGGTTGATCGGGACGGTGATACGGCGCCTGAATAGTCCAACCGCGAAGACAAAGGAGACCTCACACCATCTGTCTGCCGCTGTTGCTCCGATCCAAGTGCGCCACGCGTTCGTTCCAAGCCCTATGACGGATCGTCAGCTCCTTCCAGGAGACGTAAGCGTAGAAAAGGAAAACGGTCCGTGGAATTCACGGGCCCTGGAGCTGGTCGCGGCGAACCTCTTCTGAAGTAGGGGCTGCCTCTCGTTGCTGCGAGCCTGCAGTTGCAGTTGTAGAATCGGCGTCAGCTTGTCGAGCCAGATCGGTTGTTGAATCGTTGCCACGTTGGGATGGTGTGGCCGGACCTTTCTTAGAATTAGAGCTGTTACGTCGACTATCCAGGCTCTTGCTCAACGTCTTGGCAACGTTGCCTCCGGCACTCGTGCGCTTCAATCGAATGCTGCCCCGCGCGTCTACATGTGCTGGTGCAACGGTACTCTTGCCTAAACCTGGCGTGGCTGGTGCGCCGGGCTTCTCCTCCATGGCATCTAAAAGGTACCAGCGAAGGCCATCAGACAACTCGAACGGATTCTCATCATCGAAGGAAGTGCCATCGCTAGCCTCTCCGAATGACCGACGATCAGGATTAGCACCATTCATGGATTTCGAAAGATCAACGACCCTTTCTTCAATTTTCGTGATGCGGGCAAGTAGCCAATCTCGGGTATGAAGTTTGTGGACATCTTGTTCGCGCAAGAAGTAGTGCGGTGCCCCGACATTGAAAGCAGCCCATGATCGAATGGCTTGGTTTCTCGTCGGTAGAAACAAAGCAAGATCCCCTTCCTTGAAGGACCGGTAGGCAATCTTATCATGAGCTTCACTTTGAGTCCGATGGTATTTATCTCGGTATCCCCTCGCCTCCTTCTGCCATTTGCGAGCGAGTACCTCAATGTCTTTAACGCGCTTGACAATCGCATCCCCGAAGATATCAACATCGAACTGATATAGTGATTCCATGAAAGCCATAAATCTATCGGTTTCCTCTTCAGCGGTATCGGCGTGCATCCAGTCAAGAAGGACCGGGTCTGGCCGTACGGATACCACTCCAGACTGACTGAGAGATTCCGCAGTACTTGAGAGTGCAGTAACCTTAGAAGACCTTTGGACAACAATATCTCCATTTTGTCGGACAACAGTGAAGCCCAATTGCTCCAGCATATGCTCCACTTTTTCAACTTGTCTGAATAGCTGCTTTGAAAGCTCTTGAGATCTTGTCCCGCAAGTCTCGACTTTACCAGCAACGTGCTGCTCCGTTTCAGCCATGGCTTCCACTCTGTTTTTCCAAACAAGGACCTCATCCTCAGCCTTCCGGGCCTGAGCTTCTACTTCGGTCAGTCTCTGGGAAAGGTCTGCTAGCTTTCGTTCTTCCTCTATGACGCGTTCTCGAAGAGCGTCGGACCCTGTCTCACCAGAAGCCAGCTTCGACTGCAGGGCAATCAATTTGGAGCGTTCATCATCCAATTCAGATGTAACACTTTCAAGTCTCGATTTCTCTTGCGCTAGTTCCTCCTGTACGCGGGACAGTTCTGAAGCGTGCATTTCTGAATTCTTTCTTAACTCCTCGGCTTCCGATTCAATCTGGACCAGGCGTTCTCCAAGCTCCTTACTTTCGGCTACTGCTTTGGCGGAGCTTTCTTCTGCATTCTTAGCATGAATCGACAGCCCTTCGGAAAGTACTTCGATAGCTTTGACGATGCTAGGGGTATCTATTGGAACTGAGCCCCCAGGTGATAAATTCATGAATGCAGCTTGTAGGGCATGATTGCTTTCTCGTTCTCGCTCTTTTCTTTCGGATTCTTGTTGCTCAAGCTCTTCGACCCGAGCATGGAGACTCTCTTCCGTTTCTTTAAGGGTCTGCGTGTATACAGTTAGGTCGGTCGCCTTCTGTATCTCTCCTTCGGCACGAGCATGAGCATCTTGAAGTTCTATCTCAAGCTGGTGTATCCGTTCGTCTGCGTCCTGCTTCTCATGCTCTCGGCTCTCCATTATTCTGTCTAACTCCTCCTCAAGCTCTTCAGCCCGGATCCTACACTTTTTCATCTCACCTTCAAGGAACCTCCGTTCATCATCGAACTCACGCTGCCGGGCTTCAAGATTTCCTATCAAGTCATTTTTCGTGGACTGCACCTCCTGTATCTTGTCAGTATTTGATTGGCGCTCCGCGTGCGCGTCCCTTTGCAGCTTCTGGACTGTCTCTCGTTCTGCTGCCAATTCGGCTTCTAGGTGAACAATTCGCTGCACTAGCGCCTTCTCTTCCGAAGATTGGTTCGAGGACATCCGCCTTGATGAAACAGAGGACCTTCTTGAAAGCGTATCAGGATGAGGCGATGCTGGAGAGCTAGGAAAGTCAAGTGAGAAATTTCCACTAGCCGGCCTCCCCATATGGCTCTGGCGATGCAGCAGGTCTTCAAGCTTCCGAATACGGCTTTCAGAGCCTTTAACCTTTTCTTCTAATTTAGACTTTTCGTCCCTCAAGCTCCGGACCATGTCATCGCTGCGTAGTAAAAGAGAGCTTCGGCTTAGGTCAAAGACACTGCCTTGCTTAAAAGCCTTAGCCCTACGGCGTTGTAGCCGGGTAGGAGCATCTAACTCTTTATAGAGTTGAGCCAGCTCTTGGGCTGGACTGGCCATACCAGGTTTAGTCTTTAGCTCCTCAATGTACGCCTCGATCTCCTTCCTACTGACTACGGGCCAGTCATACTCCTGACCTCGTAGATTAACTTCGATCCCGGGGGTAGTCGTGTCGGACATAGAAACGAAATCACCCATGTTCTTGATCCATTTTTTCCTCCGGCGTTGCTCTTCATCCTGAAATACAGACATCTCCTCCGCTAAAGTTAGGGAGTCGGTCTTCATCTTGTCGCTGAATTCACGGCGCCGAACAGACTCGATTAAGATGGACCCATAAACAAAGGGCATATGGAAAACCGTGTAGAGGACGTCGAATGCATCGCTTTGGCAATTCAAATTGCCTATTTGAGACTGCACATCAGCTAGGCGTGACTCAATCAATGATATCTGTCGCATGTGATTAAAAGCAGCTTTCACTGTGACATTATATTGCCTAGCGGCTTCTTCCAAGTTGGTTTGAATCTCGGCACTAACTTCCAATAGCGATGGTAGAAGGTCCTTGGTATGGCTCAGCGCAAGTCTAGAAATGTTGGCCAGCGTTTTCTGATTATTGGGCAGAGCCAAGACATGTTCATAGTCGGATTGTATCTTCTTAGATATTGTTTCCACTTCCTGCAATAGGCCCTCAACACCATCCACGCCTGAAGGGACCGCATCATCCACCAAGTGCTGAGTGTCTGTAGCTATCCCGCCAACAGCCTTCTCCACGTCTTCAACCTGCCGAGCAAAGCGCGAGGATACATCCACTGCCTCTGACCCAGCTCTATGCACTTCATCTATGTCTAGATAATCACATAGCGTCCCTGTTGACTTATCTTTACCCTTTGTCGGTGTTGACGGGCGTCCTAGGAAGGGGAAGTCTTTTCGAGCTGGGGTGTTCTCCAATATCGCAAAGGTTCGTTTCCATCCATCAAGCGCTACGTGTTGCTCCTTCAAAAGATCATTTGCCCACGTCTGAGCTTCCGTAAACCGATGTTCCAAGGTCCCCACATGAGTCTTCAGGTTCTCAAGAGCTACACTGATAGCGCGATTGATAATACCAGTTCGCTCATTATGCCCTTGTATGTCCTTATTGATTAACTCGCAACGTTCCGTCAAGGCCACGGCCCAGGTACGTCTGGCCATGTAAAGATTTCGCCAGGCTTGGAGATCATTCTGGTCGGTAAGGGTATCGGGTGGGTTTTCGAAATTAAGCGGTTGCGGAGAGGCAATAGTCGGGAAGTCTTGTTCGTTGGGTTCATTCACAAATCGGCGGTCATATACGAATATCTCGTCCTGGTATGGATAATGAGCTTAAGGGTAGGTGGGAGCGGTATCTGGAAAAAGCATACTTCAGTAGCTAATGTTTGAATCTTGACGTTCTTCCCACGAGCAGTCATTAGGATCTGTCTCTGGGATGGGATTGAAGTGTTTCGGGAAATCCAAGATCGAAGCGCATCGGGACTAGTAATCAAGAATGATGGCGCCAGTTAGCATTCCCACCCCGAACCAAAAGGGATAAAGCAACAGGCAACACAAGGGATGGTCCGGGCACATAGAGTGGAGGTGAAGCCAAGTTAGTTGGGAGGAACCTGAACATACGATGCGAACGACACCGGGTCAGCAAGCAAATGCTCACCCGTGTGAGCGATATATATGTGTAAAGACATCCCCACCTCACCTGCCGAACGGAGCGGCTTCAGAAGTTCTTTGTGAGGTGAAGGATACCGGATGGGAGATAAGGGAGTTCGTTCATATAAACGCAAGGCATCCAGGCCTGAAGAGCTCCCCGGACCTAGACCCGTTTTGGGTGACTGACACACGCCCCCGGAACCACCCAAAGCACGCCCGAACATAAATTCTCCACCGCCCGGTCACCGTCCCTACGCCGTCGACAAAACAAAGCTTCCTATCACGCGATGCTATTTTCGGCCGGCCACGAGGTCTCACTTCATGGCGTCCGCGAAAGCCCGCTCCCTACCTCACCTGGACCCGGGTGAGGTTTCCTTGTTGGATCTCGCAGAAGATGACCCCAGGGATGCCGTGTCTTTCTCGGACAAGGAAGCGTCGATCCTGCAACTATATCATCAACTTCAGGAACAAGAGCTCGAAAAGGCACTCCTCGAACAAGGTAACTTGCCCTCCCCCATGTGTGTCGGAAGGTCTTCCATATCTTTACGTGTTCGTCCTTCCCCGGGAACGCAAAGACTGATGTCTCGTAGATGTCGAACTACTCTCGGGGGATGATGCCGAAGAGCAGCTGGCCATAGCAGAGCACGAGCTTCTAGAAGCCAGAGCCACTTACACCGTCAGGCGAAAGGCACTTGGAGCCGTTCTTATGACAGACCCTACTCTCAAAGCTGTTCATCTGAAAGCCACATATCCGGCTGAACAGTATGTCATCACTCTCTTTACTTGTCGCATCTACGCAAATGGCCTAGGTTCGAGGGTCTAGCACACGCCTAACAAAGTATAGGACTCTTCTTCGTCTTATTAACAGACGTGATGTACTCTCGTTAGCACACGAGAACTTGAATGCTGCGCTCAGCTCGACTCTTAAAAAGTTATCCAACGCGGAGGTGGAAAATCTGCAACTGCATGACAAAAACAAAGCGCTCGTCCAAGAGCTACTAGATCTGACGAAGGATGACGAATCTTGGAGGGAAGAATTGGATGATATGAGTATCAAGAAACAGCTAGAGCAAGTTAAAACAGATCACCAACAAAGTAAAGCGAAATGGGAAACCATGAAAAGTATTACTAGCGCTATCGTTGTTGGCAGTGGTGTGAACTGGGCTGAAGATGAAGAGCTTGTAGCTCTTGTGTTGGATGAATCTGACGATTGATGGCTTGGTGACGATAGGTTTTCTGCTTGTCTGTCTTTCCCATCCCCCCACCTTTTTTTTAATTCTCCTTTCCATCTTTTTGGACCAGGCCAGGACTATTTTGAAGGCGTTGGATTGATATACCCATTTGAATACCTACTAGAATAGAGAACAATATGATGCTGTTTTAGTTTTATCTTGCAGGCTATTCGTATAACCAAGGAGGCTGTTGGAGGTGAAGGTTACAGATACTGTTTGTTTATTTTTGTTATTTTTCCTTTTTTATAATTTGTGTCTGTCTTTGTGTTTACATCACAGTCTGTAACCATGTCAACAAAGCCACACTGAAGAGGACGATGACAATTCTGCGTAAATCACGTGACACCATGGCGGAGCCGATGACGGCAAAGACGCATTCGTCATGCTCAGTTACGATTTTTGCAAGCACACCCAAAAAACATGGATGGGGAAGTTTATTCAATCCTCTAAATAAATTACGACAAGAGTTAGTCCACAGCGCTAAGATACAGGTAAAATCACAAGGCGCTCCACATTTCGTCAAATGGTGAGAGCTGAGAGAAAGAAAAAAAAAAATTGAAATGAAGTGAAATGAAGATAATTTTTCCCCTTTCTTTTCTCCTTGGAAAAGGGAAAAACAAGCCCCATAATATGTATGCTCGTATAAAGAGCGCGTATCAAGAAGCATGGGAGAAAGAATAATCAGGCCAAAAGAGGAGCCGGTGTTTCCACATGGAACCAAATCCGATCACCCCCTCATTATTATTAATGCGCAGATACAGAGCCTTACTTACAATACCACAATCGGTCACTGCCCCAATAATACAGGTCCAGTATTTGCCGGTAAGTTGGATGGTGTGTTGTTTGGTGTGGAATGCAGTGGCATTTAATCATAAAGAGTGAGCAGTATTTTGTGATCTATGCAAAGCTTACAGTATTAACAACTAGTTCAATACAATCATCTATTTATCCAAGTTTTTTTTTTTTTTTTGGTTTTCTGTTTTTTTTGCATGGCACTACGGAGCTGTAAATGATTAATCAATTTTATTAGTAGTAGTTATCATCAGCAGTGAGATTGTAACTATCCGGCACTGTCGTCCACTACATGGACCCTTGGAAACAAACTGACAGCCGTTTGTCCTCCGTGGTACAAATGATCCCAAATCCATAGAAGTGAAATCAGTCCCTGGGACCACTGCTTCAGAGACAAGATTGTAATATTGCTAGATTAACCGTGGGAAACCAAACATAAATGCAGTGGTATGATGACCCAGCACAATTAGCATCCGTTTAGTCTAACACTGTCATAAGCTATCTTGTGCTGGGCGTTGACGTTTTCAGAGGCCTCATTGGTAGGTGCTATGGGTGTGTGGCTTTGCGTTAAAAAAAACTTACTACTGAGCTATGTCCAGTCTAGCTATCCATCCCTTAAGACTACGACTACCTCTCTCATTGGTAGATGACTGCATGCCAGGAGAAGAGCGCTATTTAGTGTCATTGGAAAGACTGTGCAAGGTACATACAATGGTACTTGGGTGCCTCCTCGTCGCCTGTACACATCAACTCGATCAAGCATCCCGTTGCCTGTGCAAGGGGCCCTTGGATGTATAACCATATAAACCCATACTATTTGAGGCTAGCAGAGGCAATCGACATATTAAATTAAACGGTTCTTGTGGATAGGTATCCATGTTCAAGCCGAATTGCGCCGGACGCAGCACATGTAACTGGCACAAGCGCCGAGGGGAAAGAACGAATAATGAAATGATCATCGGGCTTCTTCTTCAACGATAGGTTTAACAGGGAAGCGAGCCCCGAAGGGAGATAAAGCAACAACCGGTAGATAGTATAAGATGCTTCAGCAATGTACTATAACTAACCCTAAAGCATGGACTTATTAATGAAAGGTTAGTAACTAACTAACTAATACTCAGGCTATTCATCACAGGATGGATGAAAGCTATGGACTACAGAGATTATGCTGCCACAAAATTGTATCCAGCATAGATTCTAGCCAATTCGACTATATTAAATCACTCAGGCCTACTCAAATTGGCTAATATGCAGTACCAAGGTGTGGTGAAGTCGTATCAAGGTTGACTAGGAAGACTGCATGGGGGCACGGAGGATATACATACACGGTACGGAGATTTTTGGAGGAGGGAAAGGTAATCACTACTAGTACAGAGTACTATGGGAAGTACTACTGCGACGTTACTACTGTACGGTACTACTACCATCGCCGTCCATATTCCGTCAATCAATGGATACTGCGGTGTATGTATTTTACATGAGGTAATTTATCCACATGTGTGGAAAAGTAGGTAGCCTGAGCCTGATAGTGGCGGCGGCTGATTCAGGTATTGTGACCGTCTTGTATCATACCGTACACTAGTTCATAGTGGAGCTGTGTAGAAGCAATTCATCAACGCGAAGTTGTTTTTGCCGGTTTTTGTCTGACCGGATGAGCTCAAAAAAAGCCATAGAGCCAACAGTAATTCAGTCAGAGGAAGTTTCTGCAGCTTTGGTAGTCCACTTGCTCAACAAAAGTGCGAGTATTTTATGAGAATGACCGTGTTGATCGGTTGTAGGGACGACCCATGAATAGCCGTACATGACGTGTATGGTACAATACCACCCATTCCCCGAACACACCATAGCCAGTCGCAGCCAGCCGACTTCCCTTGCTGTGCTGCCCACTTCCCCCCTTCGTAAGTTGCGAGTGAGTAGGTAGGTAGTGGCCCGCCCTCCCGTCTCCCTCTTCTCTCTCCTACTACTACTACTCTCCCCTCTCCCTCTCTCTCTCACTCTACCTACTCTCCCTCACTACGCTTCCCATACAATTCTCTCCTCCCCATACAAAAAAGTACTGCATATCCGCATCGGTGAGTTCACTAGTAAACACTTGCACCTCTCACATTGGTTTCACACAACCATCGCAATTATTCCTTTCTTTTAAAACTGTCTGTTTCCATTGTGAACTTCGAATGTCATTTCCCTTGATTTTTCGTTTATGGCTTCGCGATCTCACTGTCGCGCATCTGCGACGGCAACTATATAGTTCCAGAAATAATGCGTGGACCCAAACTGACTTTACTCCCCAACAGGCCAAAACTGCCGACCTCAAAACATTGCTCTTGATTTTCTTTTGAGTCAATTGACGGGTAAGTCTCTTGCGCGCTTTTTCTTTTTCGCTTTGACTTGCGCCCGCGATCGGACTTGTTTGGGGCGCGCGCTTTTACGCTCTGGCCGCACCGTACTTTTCCCACCGCGCGCATAGTCGCAGTAGTCGCACCCCGACTTGATTTATTTATTTCTTCATTATTCCTTTACTTTTACCTTTTCTTTGTTCTCATCATCCGCACTCAGTCATTGCCAGCGTGCCCAAGCCGCTCTTTGCATTGGCAAGTTCTCTTGGCTTCAAACCTTCTAACAGGACTTTATTCTCAACAGATCACATCAAAGATGCCTAAGGAAAGAACCACACGTAAGGCCAAGGGTACCCGCGTTGAGCGCAAGAAGAAGGGTGGGTTCCCCGTCTATATCTCTTGAAGCGCACTGACTGATCTGGTCTGTAGACCCCAACGCACCCAAGCGTGGTCTCTCCGCGTACATGTTCTTCGCCAATGATAACCGCGAGAAGGTTCGCGAAGAGAACCCCGGCATCTCTTTCGGTAAGAGACGCAAACTCGAGGTGCATCCCTGATCGGATCAGCTAACTTCCGGACAGGTCAGGTTGGCAAGATGCTCGGTGAGAAGTGGAAGGCCCTGAGCGACACTGAGCGCCGTCCTTATGAGGAGAAGGCTGCTGCCGACAAGAAGCGTTACGAAGATGAGAAGGCGAGCTACAACGTATGAGACCCTGGTCGCCCCCTGAATGTGGACAATGCTAATGGACTGAATACTAGGCTCAAGCCGAGGAGGATGAGGAATCTTCTTAAACTGTTTCTTCTCCTCGCAGGTCTTGTAAATCTTGACCGATTGGCGTTTCGTGTTGTTTATTCCCGCTAATTGTCTGACTTGTATTTGTCGCCTCTTATGTTTCCTTTTACTCAATGGTTTCTGGTATGGGATGACGGTGGTTTCTCCTTGCTTTTCTGTTCATGAAGGATCTTCAATGGGACATGTTTACTGTATGGACTGGCGGCTTTGGGACGAATTTGACTTAAATCGAGGGAGCCCGGCGCTGTATTCCAGATCGGCGGGAGAACCTTGTTTTGAGTATCTATGGTGAAATATGAATTGAAGCTGTTGAGGCAAGCAAAATCTGCTGTACACTAGCCTAATCAACCGCATCCTTACCTTTTCTCTGTTGATCGCCCCAGCGGGTTTCGTGCCATAATGAATAATTATTATTTTTTTTCGAGTATGATGGAGGTGTTGGGAATAAGAACACGGGTGAATTAATTTCTCTTAAGGCTTGTGTGGGTGTTGAAGCTGTCGGATTGCAAGGGAGCTCTCCAGCATCATCTGGCCCAAGCTCCAGTAATGACGCGGGGGTCAACTTGTTTACGTGTTGGACGCGCGCGTCTTCCGTACTTCCGATATCTCCGGTCGTCGCCTTGATGCCTGAAGCCGCAAATCAACTATTGAGAATTGCCACCAGTTCAGTGTCTAGACTCTTATAGATACTCCTCTTAACTTGGCCACTCAGTACCTACTAATACTCTGACACAACGCATTCTGCTTACGCTACGAGACTAGAGATGTGCGGTCGTGTGCAATGCCATCCAAACAAAAGCTGCCAACATAGCCAAGTATATGTACATACATACGCTAGGGCACACATCTATTTTTCGCACGCAACTGTGCTTGTTCCAGCACTTATGCATCGCGCTGCTATTCTCTGGCTGGCGTGTTGGTGGATCTTTGAGGGTCATGAATATCCGTCAGGCAGAAATCACATATGGTTCGACGTGTTTGTTATACTAACCACCTAGAAGCTATAGGATTTGTGTACTAAAATCTAGAGCTGTGTGTCTACCCAAGGGTTGCCGAACGCC